CTCCATGGTAATGAATGAATTTCCTTTCATACCAAGATTCCTTCCCTTCTAGGACATGTTTCATTGTGATTGTGGTTCGAGCTTCTCCCATGCACTGTATCCACTCTATGACCATGGAAGGGGTGCATCCAGAATTGAGAACCCAATTGTGGTACTCCTTATTCAATCCTTTTCTGAAGAAGATCCCTGCTTCACATGACTCTTCTTTGAGTTGAGCTTTATTGACAAGTCCAGTAAACTGCACAATATACACCTTGAGTTCTCGTTTGCCTTGTTAGATGTCCAAGAGACATAAGATTGCAAGGGAGTCTGATCCCCCAACTTGAACATAGCTTTCAGCCTTTCAACAAACCTTTGAAAGGTGTCAGTACAATAGATTGAACTGTCGAGCAACTTGTTTTCATTTTGGTAGTTCTCAGTGAATGACATGGTGGTGCCCTTGGTCATATAAGTAAGGGTGAATGAGATCTTGAGGGACTCCATGTTGTAGACATGTTGATTTAAGTTCAAGTATCCTTCAACCTGCATAATCCAGGTCTGAAGCCCATTGTGGCCTCCATCATACTCTCTGGGATGCCTGATGTTAAACTCCCAGCCTCCATTGGGCAGGTGGCTCATGTAGTCATCATCATCATCGGCTCTAGCTTTCCTCTTACTGCCACCACCAGTGGGTAGCTCTGGGGGTACAGCTTTTCTGAAGTTCCTGTGATACCACTCTCATAAAGCCAAGTCAGTAGGTGTACCTGTTGGGAATGGGCACTTGTTGTTGTGTGCATAGCCCAGCAGACTTCTTCCACCATAGTGACTCTTTGTTCTTCCAACCTTTGTCTCAGTTCCTCTTCCAAAATGGTGCTCAGGGGCATTTCAGGAACCAAATCTCCATGACCAATTGTCATGGACATTGCTTCTTGTTGATGATGGGCTTCTTGTTCTTCCTTGAGGACTGATCCGAAAGAAGTCTCAGACTTCTGATTGTCTTCTTCTTCTGAACTAAGCACAATTTCCAAATCCCTAAACCAGGATAGATAAGATAATTGGGGGTTTGTTGCAGTAACCAAAGGACTGAGTTGTCCTAATAGAACAGGTGGTAAGGGAGGATTCCATCCAAGTCCAAGGGGGTTCAGTCAAGGAGGGACAGGAGGTCTTGATTTCTGCAGGTTAGACACCTTTACAAATAGTGACAATGAAGGCTGAGGGAGGATTTATTTCTTGAATGAAACCTGTCAGCAAAAGGAGGGGTTTTGTGCACAAGTGACCTTTATGCATAGGGAGGTATGAGCACTGGCTCTAGGGAGGTGATCTATTAAAGCCTAATGGCTGCCTGTAGAGCAATGAATTTGGTTGAGGGTAGAAGGGTGCTTCTCAATCTTGTTCGAGAAGTGGAACAAAGGCAAGTCAGTCTTTACTCATAGGGAGAGTAATGAGCCTTGTGAGAGTGAAGTAGTTTGTTGAAGTTCAGTAACCAGGGACAAGTCAACAAGTCCCAAAAGCTGCATAGAGTTTTGCGATTTTGTTATGCCTGAGTGCAGTGACTTCTTCAAATGGAATAGGCATGAAGCATGCAAGGGGGAGTCTACAGGCCAAACTTGTTGTTACCCCTATGGCTCAGTTATTGCAGCTGTTTGACAGAGGTTTGCTCCTTCTGGTTAGCTCTTCTGAGATCACACAGAGGAGAGAACAAGAATGGGAGCAAAGGAATAAGCTGAGTTGCAAGCTATTGAAAAACTGAGAATATGGGGTGAAGTACATGGATCTATATACTCCTGAGTATGAGTACCATACTGGTCATGACCAGATGCATTGCAACACATATCTGCAGTAATCAATGAAACAATCAGTCAAATAAATAAGTCAGAGGGAGTCATATGGTGTCATATGATTGGGGTAGGCAGGGGAATGAAGGCTATACCAGCTGTATGATCAATGTACAGTGGGGAGCCAGACACTGGAGCTATAACATAACAACGAGGCAACATAAACAAGTCAGAAAAGAGTCATAAAGGAGGAATGTAACATGTCATCTATCAGAGAGGGCAGTGGTACACCAGATCACCCCAGAGGTGTGGTCTCAATAGTCATTGGAAATATCTTGACAGCTGGAGATCCAAGCAGGACCCACAGCATACAGACCCCCTGAACCACAATGACCACCAAGGACATGATGAAGCATGTGATGCATGTGACCATGAGAAGCTGAAAAAGGAAAGACCCCTGATGCAGGCATAACACATATGCTTTTTGCCATCCTTTTTAGGGATGAAAAATGTCATGGTCATGCATTCATCCTAGGTCCTCACTCACTCCGCACCCCTTTCCACCAGTCATTCACTCACTCTGCACCAACTCCACCCAACTTCTGTCAGTTACAAGCCATCTCTGCTCCAGCTGCAGTCAAAGTGTGGTTCAGTGGTGAAAACCAACCAAAACCAACACAAAAGACAAAAAGAGCGAGTGGTGGTGTGCCTATGTGGTACCCAGATGGTAGAACCTTTGATTTGGGTGGTTTTTTGTGAGCTACAACACTCAAGGACAAGTGCTGAGGGTTGGGGGTGCTCCTGATAAAGAAGAAGCAGGAATGTGAGAGAATGCGATAGGGTAGACTGCTGTCAGCCTATGGAAGGATGGATGATGACTTAATTCAATGTCCTAAGCTGCACTGAGCTCAGGGAGGGCTTGGAGCAAAGTATATTGATGATAGACAAGGATAAGCAAAGTAGATGATAGTTAGACCCTTAATAAAGTCTCAACTATCAAAGCTGCTGAATGAATTACTGAGTGATGATAAAATGCAAGCAAGAGGGGCTCTCTGATGTCTTTTTTTTTTTTGCTATCTAAGTACAGTGATTTATATACAGTACAGGGGTGTTGCCCTTGGAAAACAAGGTGCAAACACTTGGTAAGTGATTGGTAACCAATGAGTAAGGAATGTAAGTGATGGGTAATCATCTTGGAAAGCGTTGGTAAGCATTGGTAAGGATTAGCAAGCCAAAAAGTGAAGAATCAGTAAGCAAAGTCAAAAGATTGGTAAGTATTGGCAATAGGTGAGTCAAAGACAGTCAGAACATCAAAGTATGAGTCAAGTAATGTCAGGAACTAGGAAAGTGCACTGGAATCACATTAGGGTGAGGCTGTGCATGTCACATCTCAAAGAGAGTGCTTCTAGGCCAAGGTGGGATGACAGAGAGGCAGCACTGATCTGATGCTGATATAGTACATCCAAAAGTGGACAGGGTGAGTCAGATGTCAACAGGGGTCAAGCTTTGGGGGTCTGTGGGGTGACAGGAGCATAGGGGATCACAACTTTCCCCCCCAAACCATCCTCTCAGTGAAGCAAATAAAAACTTCATGAATGAGGCTCTGTTGGAAGAGAGGATGAAGGGGGAGTGTCTTCTGCTGTATCTTGCAACAAGGAGGCAAGATGTGCATCATACTCATCATGGATGCGATCAGGGAGAGTGGAGAACAGTAGATTATACTGTAGCTGTTGCAATCTTGGAAGAATGATGGATGAGACTGGTATGAAGACATTGCAGGGAGCAGGGAGGAAGGATCCATATGCTTCTTGGACTGGAGAGACTGAAATGACCACATAAGACCTTTCCAAGCAAATGACAGACCTGAGGTGACCAAAGAATGTCCTCCTAGAGGTCATACTGACAACAAGAACATGCTGTCCAAGCTGGATGGGCTGAGAGGGCACAGATGAGGGTGGGATGTACCAGGATGCTTCGGGATGGAAGCTGGTAGGAACTCCTAGTAGATATATGTAGCCATGGTCCATAGCAAAGGGGACAAGTGAAATGATTGATGTAGAGGCAGCCATATCAGAAGAATTTTAGCAAAATGAGCATCTTTTGGAGGGAGTGCTGCAGAAATGTGTGGAGTGCACAAATCCTTTCCAATTTTGGAAGGTAAGATCGCATGGCTGAGCACTACAAGCAAGTGTGGGAATGGTCTCTGTATCTGCAGAAACGGTGGAGATATGTCAAAAACTGGATTGCCATACACAGGCACTTAAGAATTTTAGCCAGTGCTTAACTTGCTCCCTTTCTTTTTCTCTGGCACTGATGACTTCTTCTTGTGCAAGGGATGACTGCTGACATTTCTGGCTGTCCTTCTTTGCATGAGGGCTATGGTCTTCATCTCCATTCATCAGCTGTATCCATGTCCACCTCACCAAACACCTTTGGTGTGTGACACCAGACTGAATGGACCATTCTCTGAGGGGTCATGTGACTACCTTTGGACTCCTCCCTGACAGCTCACAGTCAGGTACTCCACAGTGCACACACTGCATGGTCCAGCACCTGGACTGTTTCCTTTTCTGGATATTCTATGTTACCCATTCATATGTCCTCTGTCTACCCTTCATTCATCATCTAGGAAGTTTTACTTGAAATTTTATGAGTCTCTGTATGTCAGTTCCAATTCTGATTACTGTACCTCCATAGTAGTATAAAAGCTGTGTACTGTACTCCACTGTTCTTCAGTACAAATATCAACTTAGTTCCTACTCCCTCTGTCTCTGTCCTCTGCCTGTCAGAGTTACCTCCAACTGTCTGTCTGTACTCCCCCTCTGAAATATGAGGGCTGAGGTCATGCAAGGGGGTAGTGCATAAGCTAAACCCAACACCCTCACTTTGCTCCACCCTTACCTCAGCAGACTTTGTTCTTGCCAACACTCTGCCAGTCAGAGTTCTGCTCTTTCTGTTGGACTTGCTTCTGAACCTCTCCCCAGACCTTGTCCAGCATCAGAGTTGGTTGGAGTAGGCCCAGACTTGACATTGTTCACCATTGTGAATGTGAACTGGGAGGTTGGCACAACTGTGCTACCATGGGGTAACCCTTGACAGTACCATGAGATGACAGCCATGTCTTGTCAGCACAAAGAATAAATGCAAATGGAACAGCATTCTCTGCATGTGTGGGTAACCATGACTTCATTTGTGTAACAGGAAGAAACACAGTGAATTTACACAGTACAATGGTATGAAATAATATTAATTACAACACACTTGAATATCCCACCAATGATCACCCATCCAAGGTTCAGTGTAGAAGTGTTCATATGTCTCACCATCAAGTTTGAAGACCCATTCAGCATCCCAGATGAAGTGTGGTTCAAGAAAAGGATTTTGCAATAAATCAAGGGCCCAGTCCCACAGAGGGTGGATGTGGATGGGGAATGTCACATCACTGCCCTTATAGGGCACAGCAATTTCAAACTTCGAGAACTGACAAGTGGCTGGGAAGTGAGCCACTTGTCAAAAGTGCACTGGAAATAAACAACTTACTGGTGTTAGTTGTGCCACCACTCTATCCAAAGCAGTGCGAAGCCCAGCATCATTACACAGTCTGATGCTTGCTGTTCCTTGCCATATACAATGAATCAACTTGAGAAGGGAATCAACCTGAGTTGAGCAAAGCCCAGCTTCAATGGTGACAGGTAGCAAAAATGTAACCACCCTCCGAAGCAAAAGGGTGCCAGGGCTCATGGTCTGGGGCCATGTATTTGAGGTTTTGCTGGCCAAACTCTTTGGCAGATTGGAAAAGCATTGGGCACTTGCTATGGGGATGAAATTCAGTCTTGAATTCAGGGCAATGGTCATTTTGGACATCCAGCACAGCAGAGTTCACTGAGTGACCTGCCACTTGGGCTGCAATTGACACATCAGAATCAAGATTCATCACAAACAACAGGAGATTAGTTGAATTTCAGTTAGAGATGAATGTTCTAAACTTACCTGAGTCCAGTATATTCCTACCATGAGGGCTCATCATACCCATCAACACATCATCTTCATTGAGAGTGAAGCCAGCTGGTGATCCTGTCTTGCAAAGTGTAAGCATTGAGAGCAACACTAAGGTGGTCTACATACCAGGAATTGATTGTGAAGGGCCCACTGACAGCTGCCTGAGTGGTGCTGGTATTACAGCTGCTGCAGAGCCCAAAGACCTGGTGATGCCAGGGTGCACTAATGATGCAGACATAGCTGCAACTGCTTCCTTAGCAATTTTGGCTAGTAAACAACCATTGTAAATTAAAGGACAGATGAGAGGGGGGAAAGGTATTGACTTACTTTGACAAACATCTTGTATGTATGCCTTATTGTGTTTGTCTCATTCTTTGCAGTTCATGTGCTCCTTCACACAACTGGTCTTGTGCTTTTTGATTCCTTGTGGTAGATAGAGATTACTGCAGTGCTTGCAAGGTTGCTTAGTGGATAACTCTTTTGATTGCTGGTAATTTTGATGTGCAGGCATGGTAGATGGAAGGCAACAGGCAAAGCTGATTTGGGTCTGAAATGACCCATAATATTATGATATGTAATTGATAAGTTAGATCAGAAAATTGATAATGATCATGTCACATGCACTTGCAATGATTCATTGGGCTTAAGGTGCACATCCAAATACCAAATGGAGTATTGTTATGGCATTGATATGATAAGACAAGATAAGATATCATTACATTGCCATTGTTATGCCATTGAATTAGGCATCTCAGTCACATGACAAGCCACCAGGATTGTCATGGCACTTTACTTTTTTGTGACAATGGTGTGTGAAAACTTAGTCTTGCTCATAATGTGTATTGTGAGTTTTGTATACATGCATGTGAACATGAAAGAAAGTGAGACCAGATGCTGCATTCTGTACAAAGATCTGATGTCATCAAGGAAAAAAGTTGGCAAGTAAGTGTGTGATGAATTGGATACAAAGGTGAAAGGGCATGCTCAACTTCCCAACAGTTGTCTGACTTGAATGCATTCCATTTGTGACCTTGACCAGCCAGCAATGCATCTGTTGTATCCACAGGTGCAAAGCATTGCCAACATTCATTCTGTTTCCTGATGCCTTATCATATGCCTGTAAACTTTTGTCAGTAGCATATCCACCTCAAGTATCTTCATGCTCTTGCATCTTCATGGTCTCCCTTTGTCCAGTACCTGTTTCAATTAGTAGCTTCTGTTCTCACATTGTATGAAATTCACCTTGTGCCTCATTCACCAATTCCCCTCACTGACAGTCAACTGTTGGTCTCTTGTGAGGCATGACTTTTGATTCCCCCTCCACTCTCAGCAACATCAACCTGAAATCTCCTCTTCCACACTCAGCAACTTCAAGTCTGCCCCTTCCCTGCCCCACCCATGTCCCCCAATGCATTCAAAATTCCCAATGGTGCTTTGACTCCTGTTGATGTGCCTGAGACTGCTGAAGCAGTTACAGACATGTTCAGTGACTTGTATAGCTTGGTGGTATGTCTTCTGTTCCACTTGTGTACTAGTCTGTCAATATTGACTCACCACTAGAAAATTTCTCCCAACAGTTCACCCCCTGAACAGGCTGCTCCTGCTGCAGTCACTACACCCTCCACCATAGACCCTGCTTTACTCTCCCTCAATGCTTATCCCCTTCCTGATATCCCAGCTGACAATGTTCCCATCACTGAAATGACTGGGCATGATGCAGACATCAACTTCCACTTGATTCTGACTTTCCACAACACCCTACAAGCCATCATCCACATGCTGGACCATTTCCTTGCTGAACAAGTTATGTCCAAGAAGGTCCTTGGAAAACAGAAGAGGGGGGACCAGGGAAGGGAAGAGGAACTGAATTGTGGTTTCTTCACCTTTGAGGCTTCAACAGCATTGTAGACCTATATATATATATCCCTTTGCTCTGTAGTTTCAACACTTCATTGATCAGAGCATATCTCTATCATCATACATAAAAGGAATGAGATTGTTGTCCACTCTGGCAGCCTGCTGTCCAGCATCCAGTAGATCGAGTTTCATGTGGTGGGCATAACAAGTAGTGAAACAGATTGCATGATATTCCCCCAATGTCCCTGCATCAGTGCATGTACTACTTACCACTTTGCTCCACAGCAGGGGGGGAAAGAGTTGGGTATGCATCTGATGTGATCTGTTCCAGAATGGTTGCTAACAGTGTTAATCATGATTTACTATTTCTCAACACTGGCTTCAATCTGTTGCTGAAGTACCTTTGATCTGCTACTGAGTGTGTTGCAAGCCTTCAGGTTCCTTGCTAGGATGGTTGATGGCTTGCAAAGGACAAGATGGTGATGGGTCAGAACAGACATCTGCAATGTGCTCAAAATTCTCTGGTTGGAAGGCCACTAGAGATGGTAAGTAACCTACATCACCTGTGTCCATAGGAACATATCACTATCAAGCTGCTCAACAACAAAAAATTCATCATCATGTTTGGTGTCAGGTGCTAGAATGGCCCCTCAGATGATTGAGCGCAATGGTATGAAGATGGATGCAGCCCATGGAACTGTCTTGACATGTTTGAGCCTGAGATTGCAATCAATAGTGTGAGCCAGTCTGATCCTTGTTGTGAAGGGTTGTGCCAAGATAAATTCCATGTTTCCTATGTCTGGATTGACACAGGAAAACATGCAGACAAGATGAACAAAGGTGGTTTCTGTCTCAGTGTATTGAATAAGTGCACAGTCATAGGGGGGCACACCAAAAAATGATGGGTTGCAGCAGAGATGATCTGTGCACTGGTTCCAGGTGACAGTTGACTTGTAGTTGACCAGCAGATAACAGTATTCTTTAACCTTAGCACAAGCACAGTTTCAACTAGATGAATGCATAATGAGAGTGTAGATACATACTGTGAAGTCAGTGGGGAGGGAGATCCATGACTTGACTTGATATCCATATGCCAGAAGGATCATTGAGGAACTCACAGAACCTTTGATGGAACTGATGGAACACCATATCTGGCTGACCATTTTCCTCCAAGTCTTTCAGGATTTGGGTTGTGATGGCATGTGCACCAAGCTTAATATGATCAAGTGAGGTATTCTCACTGACTGCATCAGCTTCTGGATCTGATTCCCCAGAGACAGATTCCTTGAGGTAATCAACATGCAATCTGAGAAGCTTTGTAGCAAGAGCTTGATGATCTACCCACAAGACCTAACATGTATTTTAAAGTGACTGTGAGTAGGAATGTTGGCACACACAGTTGTCATACCTGAGCAGGAATATCTCTACCATTCAAACAGTGTTCATATTCATCTTGGATTAGCTTATGCATACTTTCATTGGGCCAAGTGCTATAGTTGCATGCAGCACCATTGACATGCTTCCAAAGGTGGACTTTCAGGAAACTCCAGTCAGTTTGCAGACCTTCAATGTTGGACTTCATGATGCATTTGATGTAGTCCTGAAAATGACACATTACAACAAGTTGGCATGAGCACAAAGTATATAACTACCTTCAGTGTCTGGACAAATGTCAATATCTTGTTGTTGATCATGTTAATCATATGTTTGGTCTGGACATCTGAGCCAACAAGGCTATCAAGCTGTAGGTAGCTTCAGATGACTTGGAGGAGGTACCCTTCAGGGGTTATACTCTTCTTCAAAACATTGATCACTGCATAGAAGATTTTCTAGGGAAACAGTTCGTTGACAGCTGTCTGGTATTGGACACATGCACCTTGGAGATATTGGCCAGCTTGATACCATCTGAAAAAGTGATGTGAATAACTTGGTTGAAGTGTGTGAGGTTTTGCCAGTGAGGAAAAATTGCAACACTGTCATTGTTAAAGGTGAGAAGTGACAATGTTCACAGTGATTGATTGTCAAACAGTGACTCACTACTTCTTGACATTGGCTTTGATCTGTTGCCCAAGTGCCTTTACAATCACCTTTAGGTCCCCAAAGACATGCTTGCCCCAAAAACCATGCCCATAATGCAGTCTGTCAAAGCTGCAGGTGAGGTGGAGATCAGAGAACCCAGTCATCCAGAACATGCTCTGCATCCCATTAAATATTAGTTCATTGATGGTGATTTGTCAGTGGAAACTTAATTCTATTGGTCATAAACCTAACCACTTCAGCAATTCATTGCCTTCAGCTCAATTTGTTGCATGAACACATAATGCATTGATGCCCTGGGCATGCATATGAGGCTCAAAAGTCCTGGAGAGGTCATGGAGTAGCTCTGACAGTACAAGACATACAGGGCAAGGGTGTTTGCCACTGCAACCATGAGTGAGTGCCATTGAGTTAGTACTGCCAGTCTGAGCCAGAAGAAGAAAGTATATTACATCTCTTCAAAATTGGCAGACAGTATCATAAGACTCAGAAAGAGCCAATGGGTAATGTTGTCATGCAAAGATGTATGTGCATACCCAGTCTTTGAGTACTGCTCAATCTCCAGTAACTTTTTAAAAGATTTGTGCCAAATGACATGCTTGAGGGTTGTGTAGCCTAGCTTTCCCTCTTCTTCAGCATCTTTGGGGACCTGAAATGTTCTTAGTCTATATGAATATCTAAACAGTGGATGTCATTAACAATAGGCAGGCAAACAACAATGGTACTCCCACCAACAACATTGCTATTCTGAATCTCAACTGGTAAGTTTGCATAGTGCACAACAATGGGGTAACAATGGGGTAACCCTTGGTAGTGCTGAAAGATGATAGGTTGGATTTGTCAGCATAAAGGATCAGGTGAAACAGCACAGCATTCTTGATATCTGGTAGACTCAACTAGCACAAATACAACATGTTATGTACAGGTAATGAATGACATATTGACCAGGCACATACTTGAACATCCCACCAATGATCTCTGGTCCAGGGCTCATCATAAAAACATTCATACTCAATGCCATTGTGCCTGTAGAGTCACTGTGTGTCCCAAGTGAGGTATGGACTGAGGAATGGATTTTCTAAGATATTGAGTGCCCACTCCCACAGTGGGTGAATATGTGCTTTGAACATACATTCTTCCTTTTTGTATGGTACCTTAACTTTGACCCTGGAGAACTATTTAGAGAAGTAGGACAGATGGTGACAAATGGATATTTGGAAATCTTACTGGAGTGAGTTCCATTGCAGCTGCATCACACACTTTGCAAAGTTTGGCATCATTCTTGAGCATGACTTGGATGGCTCCCTGTGTGACATGAGCAAAGAGATCCAGCAGGGCATTGACCTGTTGCTAATTGAGCAGTGAAGTGAGTGCAATTTCCACAAACTCAAAGTCACCCAATGTGTGAAATGGGGACCAAGGTGTCTTGTCAACCAGGGATGCAGATTTCTCACTGTGAACATGGCACTCTTTGTAAGACTGATAAATCAGTGGTTGATTGCTTCTTGGATGAAATTGGATCTTGAATTCAGGAAGTTTTGCCACATTAGAACTTGTGGAAGTTGGCATCAACATGTCTGAGGGAATTATGAGCACTGTGAGAACATGCACCAAAGTGAATATGTACCTGAGGCATGGAGCATGTTGCTTGTCTCATTGTAATCTTGTCCCATAGTCACCTTGACTGCAGCTGCAGCTTATCTGAGACTAGGACCACAACATAAATGAAAGTCAGACTCACTGGGTTCATCAACAGAAAAATATCCTGTATCCATACAGTGAGCTTCGGGCGCTCGAGGCTGCAATTTGAGTACTGATGCTCTTGCAGCTTGATGGTGGGCAGCTGAGTTGATAATTGAAGCCAGAAACCATTAGATTGAGTCTGCCTGTGCTATGCACCAATTCATGCACCTCGTTGTTTCTCTTCATACTGATGTTCAAAGCTACATGCTCCTTCTCATCTTCTTTGCACTTCCTGCAACTCACCTCATGCTGCTTGAAACTGGTTTTCTGAAATTTCCTGTTACAGTGTGGGCATTGATGGAAAATGGCATGATTCCATTCAGCATTTTGATGGGTTGAAGCCAAACAGGTGGTATGGGAGGGAGCCATGAGAGAAGATATATTGTAGCTGGCTGAGTTTGTCAGACATGCTGCAAATGCTGTGTTTGGCTGATGTAAGACAATGTCATGTCATATCAGTCATTATCAAATCATTATCACTCAGTAACTTGGGCAACTCCTGTCCAATGAAACTTCTTCCCTTGGCACTTCCCCCAAGCTGTTGACATGTCATTACCAGACCATTTTAATGACCCTAATAAGGAAACTTGTGAGCATTGTCAGCTGGCAGCATTATCAGGCACCTCCAAAATTTGCAACACATTTTCATATCTTCCTCCTGCAATGGTAAATACATGTGTTTATGTTTTTCCATCATCCCCTGTAAGCATGCACCTGTGATCTACCTGGACTCCACATCTAAATGTCCTCAGGCTCCTGAATTTTGTCTGCAGTGCAGACTATACTCAACCTCCCATGACAGGCCCCAGCAGGTCATGATGCTGATGCACTGCACTGGCACATCTTGAGCTTTGCTTTGCTTCCCATTTGTGGAGACCTTGCTTCAAGATGCAGTGCTCCAGCCCTATATTCATAACTGTCAAGTGACTGTGCATGAAGGGAGAAGTACTTACCATTACTGCATGTTCTTCAAATGACACTGCCATCTCCAGGAAAATGCCATCCTGAGTAAGGCTGATGATCCATTTTGTGGTGATGTTGTTGTGATGAGACTGGGGACTCATACTCATTCCATTGTAAACATGCATGCAAGGGATGCTGCAATTGCTGACTACATCATATCATGGTCAGTGAAACAGGTTGATATTTTATCAGTTACTGAAACTTATGCAGGGTTGTTGAATGCATAAACCACCACAGATCCAAGCCTCCATGCTTCATTAGCCTTGTGAAGTCTTTGCATTGCTATACCCATTATAACTTGTGGTCATCTCATTCCTGTACATTGTAGATATCATATTATGATCTACACAATGCATGAGCACAGAATGTCTACTGTTCCCCTTACCTTGATGTCATAGACTGGACAGGAAAAAAAAAGGATAGGAAAAAAAAAGGGCAGTCTCAATTGTTGAGCAACACACTACGACAGTGGATGGGTATGGTAACCATGATAATGCACTAATAGCCTCCTCACTTCTGTTCATATGCTGAGAGTCCTGCCAGAGGGGATGCAAATGTGATTAGCTTACTAATTCCATTGCAGACCTGGTCTCCTGCTTAGTCTTCCCTGCTGCCATCACTTCAGGTAACCATTTTTCATAAGCATTTAGGCTGAATAGTTTCTCCAAACCATCCAGCCTAATAGCCTCCCAGACCAAGGTCTGCCCAGGGACATCTGGTCATGTCCCAGGGCTATGCAGATTTTTAGGCCCTGGGACAGATGGGATTTCCTCCCACATAGCCATCCATTCAAATGCAATTATTTGGGATGTCCCAAGACTGCCTTGGGTGGCATGGGGTCCCTACTCCTGAAAGTGCAGCTTATATTAGCATTGAAATAGCTGCAGAAATCCTAGCCCCCTTGCTCCTCTGACAGGTTTAATCCACAAAGTATCCTTCAACCTATACATCCCCTCCCATCCCACCATGCATAGTAGTATACAATAGTACTTTTCATGTACATCTTTGCAATGTTGATTCTGCTGTATTGGGACATCTCACTAGTTGCCAGGGGGATGACCCAATGTAGCCTTGGAGGCTGTTGTGGGACATCCCACTGGTTGGCAATGGGGAGGGTGGGATGTCCCAAGTAGCCTCATAGGCTGCTGTGGGACATCCAAAGTCCCCTTATGAAAGTCAGTGGGATGTCCCATCCCAGCCTCAGGGGGCTATGATGGCACATCCTCCTAAGTTACCTTTGCATACCAGCACAATGCCCCATGACAACCTCAGAGGCTCATCTGGGACATTCTGCCCTCTGCAGATGGTCTTGCAAAGGTGACCAACACCATGTTCTATGTGGGGGACTTTGAGATATTGGCTTGTCACACAAGTGTTCAAAAACCATTGACTTCTTCCTTCATACAGTACAAATTGCTTGAAGTATAGACACAAATTGATTGAATTTATTATTGCAATTTTCATGGCAAATGTGGAGGCCCAGGTGGGTCATCCCCCTGGCAACTAGTGAGATGTCCCAATACAGCAGAATCAACATTGCAAAGATGTACATGAAAAGTACTATTGTATACTACTATGCATGGTGGGATGGGAGGGGATGTATAGGTTGAAGGATACTTTGTGGATTAAACCTGTCAGAGGAGCAAGGGGGCTAGGATTTCTGCAGCTATTTCAATGCTAATATAAGCTGCACTTTCAGGAGTAGGGACCCCTGCCACCCAAGGCAGTCTTGGGACATCCCAAATAATTGCATTTGAATGGATGGCTATGTGGGAGGAAATCCCATCTGTCCCAGGGCCTAAAAATCTGCATAGCCCTGGGACATGACCAGATGTCCCTGGGCAGACCTTGGTCTGGGAGGCTATTAGGCTGGATGGTTTGGAGAAACTATTCAGCCTAAATGCTTATGAAAAATGGTTACCTGAAGTGCTGCCATCTCTACCTCTTGGCACCTTGCACAACTAGATGTATATTTCAGGTGCATCATTATCATGTCACTGACAGGCCAGGCATGGGCATAGTTATCAAGGTCTGGGAACACAGCCACAGCCTAAGGATATGTCAGTGATCCTATCTCCTGGCTTCAATCAAGACTTACCTTGTTGCATACAAGTCTGAGAAGTGTTGGGTTTTGCACAGATGCACACTTGGTGATGTCCAGGTGTTCATTGATGGGGTGGAAAATGTGTTTCTACTCTCACACATTTCAGATGGGACACTCAGGAGTATAAGTTGGACATACCTTGAACTTCACATATATTTTATGGTTCCAATCAAGAGCAATTTCAAGTGTGTACTCTCCATGTCCAGGATGTCCAGGCTCCCCAATAGGCTTGGGAATCTTTGACTCATCTGAGAGCACACTTAATGTGAGATCACTGTCAGAGGACTCAACAGACTTGGCAGCCAAGTCCTCTTCTGAGGATGGTAGAGTAGATGATGCTCATTGGATGACAGGTCTCTTTGAATATGGGGAAGCTCTGTGTTTAGTTGACTTGGGCTTTTGTGTGAGATGGAACTCTGGGGCAGGTGTAGACCTACAGGAGTTGGGCAATTCTTCAGACTTGATGACCTGCCTTGTGTCCAAACCAGCTGGAGCAAGAACTTCATCAGCAAGCAGTGTCATATGGCAGCATGGACTTCCAAATAACTCAATTTGATCTGTTAGCATGGAGGGTAAAGGTGGAGGAACAGTGGAATCATGACCAAAGAAAGGTGATACTGGCTTGGCTGTGGTAGGCATTTCTGCTTAGCTTGAGCAATGAGATGCTTGATGGAGATTTATGATCCTGGAATGCAGAGAGGTGTTGTGGCATTTCGAAGTGCAAAACAAAACAAGAGCTGTGATAACACAGCACATGGTGATTGGTAACTATGACAGCAGTACAACAGCAGTACACAATTATGCAATTATACAATAGCATCAATTATTGAGCTGGGCTTGACACCATGGTACCACACCACAATAGTGGTATTGTCCAACAGGGTTGTGAGGGACCAGGGTGGCCCTTTTTTGGGTTCCCTAGCACATACTTTTGTCTGCTATTTATGTGCAATGAAAGCAGGTGACAAAATCACCAGAAGTTCAAACCATGCACACATTGCAATCACTATTCTCCCCTTCACCTTCCTTAAAGCAGCATTACCAAAAAGTCACTTCTTTTATTTAAGAGCACAGGATCTGTGCATGTGCTTGCCATATCCATCAATGGACAAGTTCTTGCTGCTGGCAGTAGGTTTGTACCATGGACTGAGACTCATACTAATGATGTCTAGGTACTGAGGGAGTTAAGCTCTGGAACCTCAAAACTCAGAAGGAGCTGACTTTGGTGACCCACTTGGAGTCCCATGGCATTATAAGTTGTGCTATTTGGATGAAAGTGAAGCAAGCACCTGCTGAAACTCTGTGCTATGGCACTGGTATGGGATACCTCATATTCATGAGATCCAACACTCTTGATGTAAGACACTTCTCTTGATGCAAAAACTCATCTAATCTGAGATATGTAGAAGCACTTTCAGGAGATTTGTGCCAGGCAGTTAGGCTCAGGATCTGAAATTACCTGTGTTGCATGGGATATGTATGTTGACCACTGATTCAACCTGCCATGTTGCCATCAGAACCCAAGATGATATTGTTCAGGTTCTTTCACTGAGTATGAGCTCACAGCTTCAGCTGGTGTTTGCAGTTCATCTTGATAGTGCTGTTCCAAAGTCTATTGCCTTTGGCAAGAATGGAAGCATCTATGTCTTGGCTTGTGTGATGGAAATGTGTAAGTGCTTTGTCCTGTGTTGGAGTGTGACTCATGAGGTCTGTAGTGTCAAGATGGATGGAAATGATGGAAAAGTGATTGCTGAACATCACTGTCAATCAGTAATGTAGAACCAACCATATCCAATTTATGCCCTGCTCATATTTCAATAGCAGATCTGCTGCTGTCCATTTGAAAAAGGGGCTATTCATGATCAACAATGCAATGAATGGGTTTACTATGTATCATCTGGATGGTGCACAGTCCATCAGAACATTCCTGACTGACCTGCCACCTAGTTTAGCCATTCCAAAACAAGTGGGATTTGGAGAAGAGGCCAGAGTTGTTATTGGGGGTAGTAATAGTGGATGTGTATACATATTTGACAGGAAAACAGGTCAGTCATTGAAACACTCCATCACACCAATAGTACTCTCACACAAACCATTGTGGTCAGTCATCTCTCAACATTATTTTAAAAGCCTTTACTAAATATGTGCAGGTGCAAGATATCAGTGGATGTTGCATTATTGTGTGCACTTCACTAGCTGCCAGTCACAAGAATATGTCAATTAGTGTATGGGATCACATGTATAACTCATGGAAAGCTCCTGTCTCCAAGCCTTGGACAATTATACCAATGTTACAGGGCCTGACTGGCATTATCATTGTGTGGGCCCTAATCATGCTAGGAGGATGCCTCCCAATTGCACATACTAGCATGAGTATGCTACCATACATAAGATATTACATCTTGATTCTCAGGAACAGATTGAGCTGGGCATGTGGATGATGGACCATCTGTTTGTCCTGTGCTGGCCAAATGTATTTACCATTGACCTATCCTGCCTCTTCCATGTCAAACCCACATATGCAGTTCCTTACAGTGGGGAGGGTGACACCTAGACATGCTTTGGGACATTGCACAGCAAATCAATGAGGTCAAGCAAATTATTGGGGATGTACAAGCCAGACACAGTGCAACTGGGACTGCCAGCATGAGTGGGAGTGATGGAGTCATCACTGGGATCCAGAGGAGGCTTGAACATTGGAAGGAGGACTATGCTGGAGAAACAGTGATCTACTAAATGTAGGTTGTCATGTTATATACCCTGATACCAAAATTTCATCTATTGATGACCACTGTAACAGTGGGGCTTCACTCTGAATGAAGGGTTGAAATCAGATGCCTGACAATGATCCTAGGTTGGCTTCATGTCATGTGGACCATTGAAATCTGAGCAAGCCATTGTTGAATGTTTGAATTAAGTAGTATAATAAAAAATCACCAGTACTAGGAAAGCTGCTATGGAGAGGAGTAGGTCTCTGACTACTGCTTCTGTAGCTGACAGGGATGCAAAGCTCACCCTAGCTCTGGTTTGCCTGGTTGGAAAATTCAGACACCTTGTCTCAGGCACCTAGGACACAACAGAACCCATTTCAACATCAGGAAACCTTTTCAGGTGTCTGCCAGTGCAATTGACAGTCTACAGAACTCAAGTAGGGTACATAGGTACATATACCAAAGCCATCCAGGCTACAGGTTGTCACACCTCACAGATCATCAGCATCAATATTACCAGGACCATCACTGTCATCATGACAACATTGACCACTGTCATCTCCATCTTCATGGCCATCATTGTTGTTGCACAGTCAGTACCATATCAAAAGTTCAAAATCTGTCATTGTGGCTGCCTATAGTGATCACTGCACTGTCCAGGAGTTGTGAGCACTTACCCCATCTTGACATGTCCATATCATGGTCATCCTAGCCCACACCAAGTTATTGTTGTCATCTCTGCCCCACTGTGACTTGCTCCCTTGGCATTTCTGTGAGAGTGTATTGCTACCAAATGTAAATGTAATCATGAAATTACCTCTGTGCACTCTGGAACTACTCAATGTACTTGTCTATTCAAGATGGATCTTGAGAAAGATGTTCTTACATGAGCAAATGCAAATGCAGTTGCACCATCCACAAGGGGTTAATTTTGGGGCATGAGAACAGAATGGTGAATGTTGGGTTTCTTGCCATGGTGCCCTGAAATCAAATCTAGGGAGTGCAAAACTGAAGGAATTAGGGCCTAGCTGTTCTGGTTTGCAAGATATTTCAATTCTGAGATGCATGCTGCAAGACAAGGAAGTGGCAGCAATTTCCAGGTTTTTCTCTCATGGCAAACCTTTCCCAAAACAGCTGTAATACAAGTGTTCAAAATGACTTCACTACCCATCTCTCTCTGCCAGATTGTCTAAGTGAGAATGGTGACCCTGTGGCACACCAAGGTTGAGTGATGCAGTTTGAATTAGGATATGGACAATGGTATAAACCCAAAAACTGTCACCATTGTCATCTGATGACTGTGAGTGTTTAGGGTCATAGTAGGAATCTCTGTCACTTTCCATTCTCTACCACCAGTCATGACAGCACTGGGTCCTTCCTGAATGCTGGCATAATGCTCCTTGAGCTCTCTCCTCCTCTCCAATTGTGCCTGATCTGTTCCATACTCATCACACACTTGACCACCACTTTTGCCATGACCAAATTGTCATCCTTCTGCATATCCAAGGCCAAGATCATAGCAGATAATGTGTTCATTGAGTTTGGTATTGCTGATATACTTCATGAATGTCAGGTAGGGGTAAGCAGATACCACCACCACCCTCTGGACTGGTATACTTACAACTCATATACTTGCTCTTCAGATGTACAGAAGCCCAAGCTTCCAATCTGAGAGCCATTGAATGACAAAGGGTAGTGTGTAGTGTCATGTGTATAATGTTGATGATTTTGAAAGAAAATCATACTGTCTCCCTTACATCAGCCACCACTATGTCCACCACCTATGCCAACATGCTGAGTTTTCAAGGGGGTTATTGGGGCTGGTTTATGCTACTGACTCATCTCTCCATGCAAAATGGTACCTGTCACACATCACATCCATCCTGCTTGATTACTGTGCCAAAACTCATTCAAACTAGAGGTAAGACAGGGCCCAGATTGGCATTTGGCATTTCTTGAGGCCATGAAACTCCACTGGAGGTGGAGGATATCTGTGCATGGGGCACCACTGACAGAGGTTGCATGCCTTTCGTGTGGGTCTGCAATGATATTGGCAGGCTGTTCTGGATCGAGGGCAGGGGAACACTAGCAGACATTTGTTGGGATGTCACAAGTGGTGAGGTGCCACTGGTGTACATGTGTTGGGCATTTTGCTGCTCTTCACAACTGACAGGTTGAGGAACACCTATTCAGTAGGGAGTGATATGTTGGTGATGCCCAGTGAAGTTGCCCACTCTACTTCCTGCTCACTGTTTTCATGTTGTTGCAATTGTTGCAATCTCTAGTGCATGGTTGGCAATGAAATGCTTAATGTAGCTGAAATGCTACCAGATCAATTAAGTCCTAAGACATATCCTACTTGCTGATTTCACAGCCAATGATCCATCACTAGGCTCCAAAATATTAATTGTCAACTGTTTGCCACAATTATCACAATCTTTGTTGTAACTTGTTCCATTTTGGGGTAATAGCCTTGTTCCATCATAGATTCATGACACAGCACCAATACACACAAAGATGTGTGTGTTGTACAGTGATTCCCACTCTTATCCTTGTTCAAAAGTCACTGCCCTGCCACAATATGAGTTGCAAAAGCTGGTATTTCATTGCCATGCTCACATCCTTTTCACCTCAAAGCCCCAAGATTACATTGTACCTCATCCTCAAACATTTGGAGATATCCACTTAGTGTTGATACCACCAGATTGGAGGGATGCCTGCCTCCCACCCTACTCTCAAACAATGTTTTTGCAAAGAATGCATCAAGAAAGGTGACACAGACAGCCATGGGAAAGCAAGAGGTGTTCTTATGGAGGCTTATTTTATGCCAGCACACATGAAGTGAGTTCATGAAGAACATGCCACCCAGTACTCACCACCTATCCAACAGAGCACCATAGATGCTATAGACTCTGTTGCTGGGCACCTCTTTGCACTTACCATTACTGATGATGGTCTGGACCCTGGTGCCACTGTCAGTAAACTGTGGCACTCCCACACTGATTTTCAGGCCATGGGCCCAAGCAGCAGCATGATAAGCAACCTGCCCAAGGCAATCCCTTTAGAGGATCTTACCAGTAGTCTGAGTCACATTACCCTTCATTCTCCTGGGCCTTCCATCACATTCCCCCCCAAAGACACCCTTGAGAGAGAATGGCTCTCACCTGACTTGCCTGTTACTTCCACTACCCCCACTGTATCTCATCATTGCAAGTCATCAAGGAATGGCCATGATCATTGTGCCATCAGAGCTCTTCAGATCCTTAGCAACATTGAATCTCAAATCCATTGCTGTCAGCAGCTCCTCCTTGATTCATCAGACCTCAGCTCTCTTGATGTCCAGCATGAACTTGTTGTTCTATGCAAAGCAATTGATTGGGTTACTCATTCCATGGAGTTGATGGCTACATGCAAAAAGGCTTTATCTGCATTGTTGGATGAGGTCCAATCCCAGGCAAATGAACAGGTACCTACAACTTTGCCTTGAGATCTGGTTGAGATTGACACAGGCAAGTATCTGGATGTTGTGATTTTTACCATTGCTGATGTTTGATTGTACAGGGAAGCAGTACTCACCACCAATCAAGCAAATGGATGTGATCACCCAAGTTGCACTATTGCTAGGAGTCATGTGCAGTATAATCTTTGGCATTGGCACTCTGCATGCTAACTTTATTATGAATGGACTCTCCCTCTTGCTATACCTTGCCTTTCAGAAGCTGGATGGGACACTGAGTCATTCGCATGGGACTGTGCTGAAGCAAATACCATCAACCACCAGTGGCATCTTGTCCAGGTTCCACCTTGCAGCCAAGACAGTGATGTATGCTGTCTGCAGCTGCCATTGCCTCTATGCTCCCACCTTTTCACTCAGATTGGATGTCCCCACTTATCCTTCCTTCTGCACTCATTTCCCTTCACCAGAGAAGCAATGTGGTGAGCCATTACTCAATACACAAGCTGAGGGGAATCCTTACCTGAAGAGGGTGTTTGTCTACCATGACTTCAAAGACTACCTCATAACACTACTGTTTTGATCAGATACTGAGGCAGCAATGGACTCTGCATGTGATAATTTACATGCCTCATCCTTGCCACCATGCTTTGTGAAGAACCCATTTGAAGCCCAGTTCCTTCAAGAGTTCCATGCACCTGTGCCTGGGAAGTGCTTCATTGATCATGGAGATGAAGGTTGATATGCATTTGTGCTTCACATGGATTTCTTCAACCCTGGAGGTATGAGTGTACAGGGACCAAGTGTGTCATCTGGGATCATTCCAATGGCATGTCTCAATCTGCCTTTGGATGTGAGGTAAAAGCCAGAAAATCTGTATCTTGCTAGCATTATTCCAGGCTCCAAATAGCCATCACTTGAAAATCTTAATCATTACATATGACCACTGATGAACAACCTAGTTGCTGCTTGGGATTCTGGTATTTGTTTTTTGAGAATGGTGAATCATCCTGGCAGACAAGTTACATGCTGAGGGGAGAGGGATCTCCCTACACTAGGAGTGTGTATATAGTGTCAATAGGCAGTCTACTAAGCATCTTTAGGCATTGCAACAAAACAAACACAAATGCAACCCCTCTCGAGTGACTTTGACACTCTCTAGGCTCTAGGTCACCTGATACTACATCCTCCTCCATCAACTCACTTCCCCTGTTGTCACATCACCTCTCAACACTCCCCCTAGCTGTTGCAATGAAGGTCCAATGCTTCTGACAGGTTTCCTGTTGCCTGTACTCACTCACTTGTGCTCTTCAGGTCTGCATTGTTGGTAATGTATGTACCATACTGTCACTCTCATTACCTTCTTGTTCACCTCCATTCAGATCACTTTCGCTTCATTTACATTAGTCTATCTTTTGATTGCCAACAGTATTTGTCACAAATTTGTTCAGTACCATTATGATGCTGGCAACCTTGAATGACATGTCATTGCATTATAATGTACATTACAATACCATTCTGATGGAATCTAATAGAACAACTGTACCTTACCTATCATTTCAACAAGCCACATGACATTGTGATAATCTTTGATAATCAGAAGGTATTGTAAGGATAGTCCTAATGACTCTGTGTCTATAATATATGTAAGTGAAGTGGCATTCCAAGCTGATCATTATCCCTTCACCATCATGCACTGCTGTCCTTGCCCTTCAAGGTGTGTATCACTTCAATCTGTTGCAGAACCCACTAACTTCCCACTATTACTTGCTATTAACCCAACATAATTGACAGACTACTGCTACCATGGGGCCATCTCAAAGGGCCCACTCAAAGTACAAATATTCTGAAAAGACTCTAGCAGGTCAGATATGTGAATATTGCAACAAGACATTCAAGCCACATGGCTTCAAGAGGCATGAAGCAAGCTGCAGGAAACAAACCAAAGCTGAGCAAGAATGCAAGTGATATGGCCAAGTTTTGGAGCAGTTTGAAAAAGGTGAGCATCATTCTACATCACCTGTCCTAAGTACCACTTCCCAACAGCCATGCCTGAGTCAGCACAATGCCACACAAGGGAGAAAATGGGGAACCCAACATGTTACATTCCCCTTCCAGTTTTGTCACTGTTCCCCATGGCAACAAGGCTGGCCCATCTATATACTCATTTGATGATGAAAGTAAGGCTCCCTTCCCCTTCTTCTGCCAAATACACAACTGGCTTAGGAAATCCCATTGTTGATGCCCCACTGCATGAGTTTGTGGAACACAAATACCCTGCCAGTGCACATGAGAATGAACCTCTCAGAAGTCCAGGTGCAATCCTCAATTTAGTTTTTTCTATTTGATGATTACAAGTATGGCCCCCTAGCACTATTGGATGCTATGATGGGCACAAGGTCATTGACTACTCAATCCTAGCCATTGCACCCCTGGCTATCACAGCAAGCAATAGAACTCAAAACTGAGTTTCATCCACACAGCAACCAGCCTCTGCTTTGTCAAAGTTTTGATGAGTTCTGAAGGTGCTTGATGGTGTTTGTTCCTCCAATGGACAACACTCCCTACTGACCATTCTGTGGTGTTGGCAACTTTGAGTTTATGGAGATTGCCCTGGAAGCAAGCCTAAATCAGAAGCAAGTTGACACTTTGTTAGATCTCATTGGCCATGTTGCAAAAGGGGCCACTCAGGTGACTCTCAAGAATGACATCAAGTTTCACAAAGCTTGTGATGCTGCAGCAGCAGAGCTCACACTGGTATGTTAGTACCATGTTCAGATTACTAACTTTGCTGTAACTTCTCCATCATACTTACAGTTCTCTAAACATACAGTTGTCATGGCATATAAGAAGGAAGTGTGGACATACAAGGTACATACATGACCCATCTGGGAATGGGCACTTGACATTTTGGCTCTGCACTTTGTTTGGGATGCACAATGTTTGTTCAAGCATGATGGACAGAATTGAGCACACTGCAAACAGTTTGGGAAGTGACAGGAGAGGAATGGGCCACTCCTATTATATGGGTGGCCTGGACAGCATTTTCAGTTCTGCCAGCAGTCACTCTAGAGGACTATTCTCCTGCCAGCAGAGGACAGCTGCTAAGGATGTCCCAGTTTGAGGATTTCCTTATCCAGCTGGGACCCTTTGATGACCCTGGCCACAGTAGAGCTCCCCAGACCAGTTTTAGAGGAGATTTGATGATCAGAAAGGGGAGATTCAGAAAGAAGATGGATATTTGCTCTAGCAGAGGCAAAAATGCATTTCATGGTGAAGTGGAGTTAGCTGAGTGGGACCCAAGCCATTTTGATGGCTCAGGATTATGTACAATACATAATCAGGCAAGGCTGAAGCACAAAATCCCTCACAAGTTGCAAATCCTCATGTTATTTGCTAAATAATGACTGACAACATCATGCTCAAAAAAGTTTATTCCTACCAGGTCCTGTTTCTCCTGCATATAGCCCAACATCTCCATAACAGTCACCTTCAATGCCTGCCCAAAATGGTACAACTCACCACAGGCACTGATACAGTACATCCCCATCATAGGAGTTGGGATTTTTCTTGTTTGTGCTGATGTCTCTTGCTGGATGTCTCCCCAGGTGACTGGCATGTATCTACTAGTGCATTTTTGTAGTCATACACCCCATGTAGATTACCATACATCTTTATTATGCAAACTAGATAACAATAATGTTCATACTAAGTAATGAGCCAATTTGTCTGTCAATGTAAGGTATTGAAACCTAGCTGATGGGAATTATTATATAATCCAATGGACTGTAAATATATACACATGGTGACTTCCTTGCTTCCACACTCCTTACCATGACCATCATCATGGGTATCATCTGTACCACTGACTTGTCAGGCAGTTTCACCCATACCATTGCAGCAGTAAGTACCCATCACCATTGTGCCATCAAGTTATTATTATTAACTGGCCCTTGTTAAATGTTGACAGTTTCCCACTGCCCCCAATGACAAAATGGAATCACCACTGACACTGATGATGATGCCAACTTCCTTTCCCTTCAATCATCCCCAGTATTCCTATACTGAGCCATTGTGCACACTTGTCACATTGCCCACCAACCCTCCATGTACTGGTCCAGGATTGCTATTTGTCTGACCTGCAGCAAGGTTTTGGCAGTGCAGGTATGTGGTCACTGCTGCTTTAAGTTATTGCAGCTCACTGACTTGACACCAGTCAAACACATCAGATTCCTCAAGTCCTACATGCTATGAACTCCTTATTCCCTGATAGATACCCTGCACCTACTTGGAATCACTGCATCATTGTTTTGTCCTCTTATATTAGCCTCAAGTTTGGGTACTACAACCTATATCTGTGTGGTTAAGTATGCTGTAGTCAATGCCATGCACACTCATGTTTTTTAAAAAAAATGTTTTGGAATTGTGATGAGAATAAAAGAATGAGAGTGAGAAAAATGTTGTTACCTTGACCTGAGTTGACATTGGTAGAGTGGAAGGTAGTATCATAATGATAAATATGAAATTATAATGAGTGTCAACATGTTGGCAGGTGCCAGTAGCCTGTCATAATCCCTTAGCATAGCTACATACATTAAATAGCCTTTTAAGGGTGTTATAATGACAGTATGGCATGTTGATGGTGACAGAGCTCATTGTAATGCCTTACAACACTCTCTCCTTAAATAGCCTTTTAAGGGAAATATAATGACTACATTGGGCAGTGATGATGAAACCCACTGTCATTCTTATGTCATTATAACATCATTGTTATAAACTTTTCCACCATTAGCATGCATTAGAAGGCAGGGTGGGAAAGTGGGACCTTAACTTACATTGTAATGTCTTGTGATGTGTGCAAAAAAGTTGGGACATTCTGGCCTCATGGCCATCATTATGTCAATCTCACCTAATTCCCATCATTTCTTGTCAATCTTTTGACCTTTGATGTTGCTCACTTCATAGTTACATACTTCACATGTAGCTACACTTATACCTGTCTTCATTGACAGGAAAATAACAATTTTGAAGCCCCCAAGTTAGAGACAGAGAGAGAGCAGAAGTATCAACATTGACACAACCCCTTCCCTTTCCCCTGCCTAGTGCTGAGTAGCAGGCACAGTTGTGACACTGTCTAGGCCAGCTCAAGGCTTGTCTACCCATTATTCTATTGTGCTTTTTGTTTACAGGTTGATCAACTTGCATGACTCAGTCACATTCCCTCCCTACCATCCTCCTACAGCTAGATCAACTCCCCTTGGGTCAAACTCACCCCTTCAGATTGCCTATCCCTAGGCTGGAGCCCACACCATCATACTAGGTAGCAGATACCTGCTCCCCACAATGCAGTACCACTGCCCTTGTTGTCTGTGGTCTCCTTGCCTCTTGCCACCTTGCCACTTTCACTGGAATTTGGAGTCAGTTCTTCTGCACTGTTTGCAGCTGCTACCACAAGACAAACTACAGTTGGACAGACTTCAACAACTGGATGGCATGTGATCGCTGGGCCATGTCACCTGATTGAAAGTCACGTGATTAACCCATTTGCCACTCCTGTGACTGCCTTAGTGTCACGTGACCCAAGGGGGAGTGTCACATGATTTCAGGGTGATGTTGTCACGTGACTGATTACTTGCAGTCACGTGACTCAGGCAACCATCCCGTTGGCATTTGGCAGAGTTCCATCACGTGATGCATTATGTATTCAGTCATGTGACACCACAGCCACCTCCTGATCTTTCTCGCCAGGTAATGTCACGTGACTATATCCCCAGTCACAGGATTCATGGTCATGTGCCCTTGTACCAAGCGGAATAGGGGGATGGGATAGGGGTGTCATGCATGGCATAATTAAGGCATCTTGCATGGACTGCCTGTCGTCTCTCCGCTTCGTACTCTCACTTGTCCCTCAAGGCTCAGCTGAGCCACACACTAGTCTGGTCTCTCGTTTTTCTTCGCTCCCACCCCAATCCCTCTCATGGTCCGTCCAAAGCAGCTGCATCGACAGCCATTTGTCCGATGCCTCGATCTTGACGTCTCGCTTGAAGCTGACCTGTTCGGCACCCAGCCCTCCCTCACAGCTCAGCTCGATGACTCGGGTCTTGGTTTCGGGCCGGAAAACATCCCGGTTTTCACCCAATCCTTTCAAGCATTAACCCTTGCAATACCATAGTATACTACATACACATAGACCTCTTCCTGCAAGCACCATACTCTCTTCCCTTAGCTAACTGGTTGAACATGTAGATGGATTGCATTTCGACCGCCAATGTGCCTATGTACAACCGGCCTGAAAATATAATGAGCACACATGTGCCAGGCACGACCTATATAATCTCCAGGATCGACATTTGACTGTCTTAGATAAAGTCCAGATCCTGAACACAAGTGGTAATCGTACGGTCGCTCGGGATTCTTTTGCACTCGTTCTGAGGCAGCTTGTTGAGTAGAAGTGCATTGAATGGCCGCTTCAGCTGTTCTAGCAACTCCCACACGGTATCGTCATCGCTATCGGACTGCGTCGGGAGTGTTTTTGGATGCCAAGGTCGAGCAAGAATATATCTACCGACACCCTCCTCAAGTTTGTCAGGTAGTGTGACCTTGACAGGCATCAGGCGCGATGCATGAACCTCGTATGTGTAGCGTGAGGGGCTGGCTGAGGAACCTTGCAGTTTGACCGCCATGACCGGGTGAGTGGTGGAGGGCAACACAAGTTTGCGGTTGACAAATCCGGCCCGCGGTAAGCTTGCGAGGTTATTGTACAATTTTTTTGCCTTCTTAAGATCTAGGCCATTGCGCCTGGCAGGGTGGTTGGGGGTCAGCTGGACGTCAAGTACCGTCTGATATGACACGAGGCTGGCAGGGAAACAGCTATTGAATGATGACGGCTTCCCAACCCAATCCAAAACCGAAACGTCTCCAGAACATGAAATGATCTCTGCAAGAAGCCGTCCGAGAGCGTTCTCCCCATATTCACCATAGAGTACTGGCAAGTGAACCTGAAAGATTCCGAAAAGCGAGTAGGCGACATCTTCTGGTCGCGTAGTACAACGGCCTGATGCCCAGTGCAGTCTAGATCGCGAATCCTCCATGCCTGGATAGAAATTCTTGAGGTACTGCTTTGCTACTCCAGTTGCCTTCTGGAGCTCTTCGAGCAAGGCAGGATCTGTTTTGTGATTCACCGCGTTACAATTCCTGTAGGGTGACCAGTCTTGTGTGTAGAACAAGATGGTGTGTGAAGCCAACAATTCTTGGAGTGTCCAACCTCGTTTAAACCAGACACTGTCGGCAAGTGAACCACCGTTGGGGGACATCGGAAAGGTACATGATTGTCAGGGACGACCGGTGGTACCAAGAAAACATAGATCCAATCGCTTCCTGCAATTCGGCACTGCTATCTTTGTCAATGCAGCACGTATTGCTCCATGCCCACTGGAAATTATGCTGGAAAGCGAGAATGCAAAACTCTTGGAGTTTCTCCAGACCATCTGTGCCGCGCAAGTCATAGATATGTTTGCTTTCAACGTCACGGAGTGATGGCTCACCACTCCCCCACCTGTGAGAGAGCATGGCAAATCCAAAGCACTCAGACACAGTATCTTTGATTTCCCTTTCGAGTTGCTGGCTACCAGATGGAGACGTTGACAACAGCAACTGCTTGTATTGAGGACTACGCTCGAAGTGGGATAGCTGTGCATCTCGGTTACACAAGATCCCAGTCTGTGTATGTAACAGACGGAGTGGGAATTTTTCAACTGTTTCGAAAAAGCCCTTCTTGATCAATTGTTTGATATCAGCGGAAACGGAACTGGAAATATTGCTTGCATGAGCCTGGGCACCCCTTGTTCTAACTTTTGCTATGAGGAAACTCGCAAGATGGTTTCGAGACGATGAATGATCCTGGTGACCTGGAGGGCAGAGCTCCAATGCAGCATTCATGAGGCTAAGTGCCTCATTTATGTCATCCTCCAAGCCCTGTTTTTGGAACTTTTCGTGAAGGGCGTTGGCGAGATCGAGAAGAGGTCTGCATCGGTTCGGCGGAAGAGTACGTTCCAATGCATCACGGCGAAGAGATATAATCTCCTCCAGATACACCACGGAATCCTCCCGCCGGAAGCGTTCATAAAGCATGTGATCAAGGTCAAGAAGGACAGCTTGTCTCCGCGGGTCGTTTGGGGGCACATGTTCCGACGCAGCTCGTTTCAACGTGATTAATTCGTCCACGTCCTCATCCCTTCCCTCTATCTTGAACCGCTCAGATAGGAGATTGGCGAGGCCGATGAGAGCTGTTTGGCGTTGTGGGTGTTCCAGCGGAGTGCATTCCAGTGCAGTTCGCTGCAGTGTGATGTGCAGGTCAAAATCGCTATCCCTTCCTTCCTCTCTGAGCTTATTGAAGAGGGGATCGGCAAGATCTTTGAGAGCTAAGCCAACACCTGAGGATACCGGGGACATGCGCTTTAAAGCAGGCGTGGGGGAAGCGAAAGACTCTTTTACCTAGGCAAGGTCGAAGATACGGTTATTTGCCGGATGGATCGTGTGTGGTTAAAGAGTGATGTACCTGTGCTTCAGTGATACCCTTGAGTAGCAGCAGTGTCACACTCCACGCTATTTCTGGTTGGCCTTTGAAAACTCCGGGGAACATAGATACATGCCAACCATACTCTCTGTTTTCGTTCAACGCTTCGACCATAATTTGGAGCTGCGACAGCCGTTGGCTCTGCGTTTGACTGGGCAGAGTAGAGCCCGAGTTGCAAGTCGGCACCACATGAATGCGGGATGGAACCATGAAAGGAAATGCCTTCACAAACATCTTAAGATGCCGTGACGTCAGCGTGCAGCTATAGTTCGGATCTGATTCGAGCGAGTGGAGGAAGAGAACGCCAGAATGACATTTTTTGGTGAATCTGCAGCAGTATTGGGAAGGTTAAATAAATAAATAGAACGGACGTTCATCACACTTACCTCAACTCTGACCGATCAGTCCCCAAATTTTTAGCAAAAAATTCTTCATGTTCAGTGTGGAAGGATGGCCCATCGACGACTATGATGTTGTCCGAGTCATTACCGAACTTAAACATCCACGCTTCGACATTCTTCGTATGGGGATGTCGATCCATGACACGATTCTTAACCAATTGGTTGATAAACTGAGGATCGGTTAGAAAGGTAAAGGTCTCCTTCTAAAGAACTGGCAGCATTACCCAGTGCTTATCTTCCCCAGTTCGGTCAACTACACTGGCCAATCGATCAGCTTGAAGGAAAGTAATCATAACGCTGCCACTTACAATATTACGTAATCTTTGTGTGGTTCCCCAAAGACGTTTAGGTTGGTGGCAGACTGGGTTGAAGTTTTAGAAAATGGCAAGAGGGCTGCACGCTTCGCCAATGGGATCTTCGATTTGTTCGTATTATCCCATGACTTTTGTAGTTCAGCATCCAAGGATTCCAAGCGCTGTCGCTCTGCCCCGATCTCCTCCGCCAACTCCGGATCATTCCGCGCCATGGTTTCTTCCTGCAACTGTTTGACTATCTCCTTTTCTTCGTGTAGGGGCCTCTGGAATTGCGTGTAGAGGGTTTTCCCAGCAGTTGTCTCGTTCAATCCCATCAAGCCTTGCACAATCTCCCATGCGGAGTTTGATGAGTTTTTGAACTGCTCATGGCGAGCCCCTGCATCGAGTAGCGGCTTCCACAAGTTTTTCTCTAGTTGCGACGCTCTGCTCTCTGCAGCATTCGCATCTCTTACCCTGTCCCACATAGTGGTCACCAGTCGCACGCGCTCGGCCACCTTGCGTCCACACAACCTACAAAACAGGGCGAAGTTCCTGCGCACTATTGCAGATATTGTACTGTCGGTTATGCGATGAGTATAAATGAAGCCTGTCAGCTCGATGCCCATGCGATATCTGCTCATCTGTTAGACCGCGACAGCTCACGATTGCACGCATGTCTACCCACTTCTCCCTTATCCAATCACTCATCACTTGTAACGTCTCCCTGTCTGATCGAAAATTGTCATCGAACCCCGGCATATCCATGAATACACATAGTCGGTTGTTGGATAGGCCGACTGGGAACACGCTGATGCCCATCTTATATGACTTAGGCTGGTACGCTGCCTTGTCCTCTCGCCTTCCCGCGAGGTGGTTGATAAACTACGTATCTTTTAGCCAAGAAATCAGAAACCGCCGTTCCTTCACTTACATCGGTTTTCCCTGATTCTGTCGGACCCATCAATCTAGGACAGTATGGTTAACAACGGACATGGTCCCCAGGGAGCACATACGCAATAACAATAGGGCTGGAAGTCATTTTGTGCACCAGGGGGGTGATTCCACTGTAGCAGGGTAAAATTCGCAGGATGCAAGCACAGGTGGTGACCTTCGTCAGAGCACGTGTAGGTACACTTGCGTCGTGCCGCCCTCATGTTCTACCTGACCACCATTTGTATTTTAGGGATTTGAAATTCGCGCCGGCCGTTCACATGTCCCTTACTGATAGTTCAATTGATACTACGTTGTGATTGGTCCTGGGAAATTCGGATATCCTAATTCATCCATCCCCTTGTCTGCGGAGCAACTGGAGTGGCTGCTGTCATTCTCCGTTGCCCGGCAATTACCCCTGTTGCTGTGCCCGTTGTACGTAGCGAGCACATGCTGTAATCTTATCCTTGTCGTACCTCCTCTGGTTTCTTTTCGCTGTCCTCATGTAGCCACTGAGGCCTTGAATGTAGATTTATTCGTCTTACCTTCCCTCTCTTCCTTAACGCTAAGACGGCCTGTCTTCACAGCAGGTCGAGTACGTGCTCTCCCATATGCGCCGAGGCCACTCAATAGGCGACACCATAATTGTGAGAAAGCTGACTTCGAGGTGCCGGATAACTTTGATGGAGATACATTTTCATTGTCTTGTGGTGCGTTCGCGGTCTATCGTGCTCTCTACACAATCCATCATGTCTTGTCATATCTCTTTGTGCCTGGTGCTGATTTTACAGAGGCGACTCAACCCTTTCAGTCCATATCAAATGGTACAATATGCTCCCCCTCTGGTCAACTGCATTCGGGGGTTTTTCTCCCCCCTCTGCTTTACAGCTGTTTGCATAATTAAGGATACTGGCGGGTTACAAGGCAGACAAACAAATATGATAAGCATCAGTAGAGACTTAGCAAAAAAGTTTATATGTGGCTGTTCAGTTGCTGTCATCTCACTTGTCTTTGATGCCCAACTGCAAGATATTGCCTGATCTCAAGTTTGCTGCTCTTTGCCTCCACCAACATGGAGCTATGCCACTCTCAGATATTCTACAGTGCCTGGGGATATCCTGGATGGCATTCTTTTATGTTCAGAAGATCTTTCATGAACTGGGGATGTTGTGAAGCCTTGCAGCTCTTATCATGGTTGTCCTCACATCCAAAATCACACAGATTTCCAATACCTGATCAAATTCATCAAATCCCATCCTGACTGGTGCCTAGATGAGCTCCAGGGATTTGTGGAGTTAAACCATTTCATCTGTATCCATTACACAACAGTTCATCAAGAACTTCTTCATGCAGATGTCTCATTCAAAAAGCTTCACCAGGTAGCTTCTGAATGGAAGGCAGATCTCTGTGCCAACTTCATTTGGCAGATGGCTTGATATGAGCCAGATGGAGTTGTCTTTATTGATGAGATGTGCAAGGACAAACACATTCCTGTGAGGAAGTATGGTCATGCACTGAAGGGTGAGTGGGTGAGCATTTTAGGTCTGTTTGTGCTTGGGAAGTGCCTCTCCATCATTGCTACAATGAGTATGGATGGTGTCAAGACTGGTTCTCCTCAGTCTTGCTAGGGGGTCAAAGGGTCATAGGGGGAAAGCTGACATACAGTGACTTCCAAAATTGATTCAATGTTTGCACATTTTGGGTTGTTTGTTGAATTTATCAAGAACAAAGACAAATAAGACCAAAGTGTAAGTTGATGACATAAGCCATTTGCACAGGACTATCCATCAAAAAAAGAATTATGTAATTTGAATTAGTATCCATAAAGGTATATACAATGTAAATTGCCATGTCATTGAATCAATTTTGGAAGTGTGTATCAGAGATATAGAAACTGATAATTTTAATATTTTGTATGACCTCCCTTGGCTTTTATCACTGCTTGGACCCTTCTAGGCATACTTTCAATTAAATTCTGACACACCCCTGGGTCGAAATTATTCAACACCACTGCCACTCTCTTCCAAACCTCCCAAACTCCCTTTGGCTGTGTTGAATACTTGTTGAGCTCCTGTTTGATGTGATTCCAGAGGTGTTCAATGGGGTTCATATCTGGAGACTGTGGAGGCCAATCTAGAGCATTGATATTGTTGTCCTCCAACCACTTCTTGGCCTTTTTGGAGGTATGTTTTGGGTCATTGTCCTGTTGAAAGATAACATCCTTCAAAGGAATTCCAGAATCTCCCAAGCTAGGAAGCAACTGGCTCTCCAAAATGTCCACATATTGGTTGGCATCCATCCTCCCCTCAATCTCTGCAAGGTGGCCAACACCTTCCCAGCCCATAGATTCCCATACCATAATGTTTCCTTCTCCATGCTTGACTGTTCCCTGTATCTCTCTCTCAATAAGCCCCTCTCCTGCCTGTGTCCACACCCAAACCTTCCCATCTGACCCAATCCTATTGTTTTCGGTCTCCTCTGACCAGATAACCCTTCTCCAGTCCTCCACAGTCCATCCTTTGTATTTCAGAGCAAAGGCTAATCACTTCTTCCTGTGAGTTATAGAAAGGAGTGGTTTTTTCTTCTTTGTTACAGCCTTGAATGAATGTTTTCTGATGACCCTTCTGACTGTTTGTGAGGAGACTGGATTGGAGATTATGGAATTGATGTTCTTTGTAACCTCAACAGCATTGGTGGCCTTGCCTGTGGTGATTTGTGTAATAATAGCATTCTGAGAGGTGGATGAAAGCTTAGCTGGACATCCAGAAGAAGGTGCTTGTTGATATGGACACAACATGCATGCTTAGTCAGCAATACAGCCACCCACCACCAAGTCCAGTGGTACAAAACACAAACACAAAAGAAAGAAAGAAAACACAAACTCCTCAACCCCTAACTCCTGACCAAGACAACTTCTTGTAGGAAATCCAATCCCATTCCCTACATCCAAGGGGTGGTTTAGACTTTGACCATCCTTGGTCACTCCCCTCCTTGCACAGATGTCCTCATCCTTGCTTCCTTTGACTTCACAGCTGCATCATTCACCCAAAAACCTTTTGCCTCTTCTTGCACAACACACCCTTCACCCCAAGTACTGCTGTCACACACCAAAGGTGTTGTGGACATGGTTACAGCTGACTCTACCTAACTCATTGATGAGTTGCATGCCATGCCCACTTCAGGTAACTATTTTTCATAAGCATTTAGGCTGAATAGTTTCTCCAAACCATCCAGCCTAATAGCCTCCCAGACCAAGGTCTGCCCTGGGACAGATGGGATTTCCCACATAGCCATCCATTCAAATGCAATTATTTGGAATGTCCCAAGACTGCCTTGGGTGACTGGGGTCCCTACTCCTGAAAGTGCAGCTTATATTAGCATTGAAATAGCTGCAGAAATCCTAGCCCCCATGCTCCTCTGACAGATTTAATCCACAAAGTATCCTTTGACCTATACATCCCCTCCCATTCCACCATGCATAGTAGTATACAATATTACTTTTCATGTACATCTTGGCAATGTGATTCTGCTGTATTGGGACATCTCACTAGTTGCCAGGGAGATGACCCACCTGGGCCTCCACATTTGCCTTGAAAATTGCAATAATAAATTCAATCAATTTGTGTCTATACCTCATGCAATTTGTACTGGTCTCCAGAGGTAACTTAGGAGGATGTGCCATCATAGCCCTCTGAGGCTGGGATGGGACATCCCACTGACTTTCATAAGGGGACTTGGGATGTCCCACAGCAGCCTCCAAGGCCACCTTGGGACATCCCACCCTCCCCTTTGCCAACCAGTGGGATGTCCCACAACAGCCTCTAAGGCTATATTGGGACATCCCACCCTCCCCTCTGGCAACCAGAGGGATGTCCCAACACAGCCTCTAAGGTGTTGAAGTAGTAATCTGCACTAATCCTACAAGCACCATAGAGAATCTACTGCAAGGTAGCTCCATGGTCAGAGCAGCTGCTTGGCACTGAGAGGGTCTTGGCTCAATGCCAGCTCTGGTCACATTTTCATCAGGTTATGAGCTGCAGCTGGAACCCATGCATGCTCAGTACAATGGGTCATGCAGCATCCTTAGTAAGTCCAGATCATGTGAGTTACATGGACACAAGGTGGCTGATAGTAAGGCCTCCTGGAAACACAGCAGTAAATCCTGATCCATCACATGACACAAGGTCAAAAGGCAATCAGACCATTTGCATGACCCTAGGGGGTGTGCACTGTTTTTACACTCCAAAAGTGGACAGATGAAGGGACCACATTGGAGATGGTGCATTCTGTGCATTAACTTCATGGAGATATGTTCCCACAGTGCTAGTCTAAGCCCCCAAGCTACTGACACTAGTACCCAGACCATATGGCTCAGTGGTTGCAGCACCTGGTAAACACCTAGGAGGTCACTGGTTCAATCTTAGGACTGGTCACATTTTCCTCATATGTCCCATGACAGCCTCTAAGGCTACATTGGGACATCCCTCCCCCCCCTTGGGCAAGCAGTGGGATGTCCCACAACAGCCTCTAAGGCTACATTGAGACATCCCTCCCCCCCTCTGGCAAGTAGTGGGATATCCCTTGACAGCCTCTAAGGCTACATTGGGACATCCCTCCCCCCCTCTGGCAAGCAGTGGGATGTCCCACAACAGCCTCTAAGGCTACATTGGGACACCCCTCCCCCCCTCTGGCAACCAGTGGGATGTCCCACAGCAGCCTCTGAGCAAGTGGGAAATGGTGCATTGCTCTTCACATAGTCTTGTTCCAATGTCACTGGTTTACCCCCATGCTACTGATATTAGTACCTGGTCAATATATATTTGCTCAACTGTTAGAGCACTGGTTATCACCTAAGAGGTTGCTTCAATCCCAGCTCTGGTCACATTTCCATCATAAGGTTACATTGGGACATCCCACTTCCCCCTCTGGCAGCTGGGGGTAGTGTTGCTGTGGCTCAGGGAGCTGTCCTCAGCCAAGGGCCATACCACATCTATATTATTGAGTATTAAAATAATTATTGTGGATTTGGTATGTGGCAGGACAAGGCTACATTTGGTAATAGTTGTCATAGTGAGTAAGCTGCTTGTTGCTGAGCAGGTCAGCCTTTGGAGCTGAGTCACAGCAACACTAGCTGAGGCTATGTCCCAGAATACCCTCTTGGGTTATATTGGGACTTTCCACCCCACTCTCCAGCAGCCAGTGGGATATCCCACAACAGCCTCTTAGGCTAAGTTGGGACATCCCACTGTCCCCCTTCTGAGGCTGGTGTGGGGCATCCCACCTTCCCCTTTGTCACCCAGTGGGATGTCCCACAATACCCTCTAAGGCTACATTGGGACATCCCACCCCCCTTCTGGAAAGCAGTGGGATGTCCCACAGCAGCCTCTAAGGCTACATTGGGATGTCCCACCCTCCCCTTAGGCAAGCAGGGGGATGTCCCACAACAGCCTCTAAGACTAAATTGGGACATCCCACCCTCCCCTTTGCCAAGCAGGGAGATGCGCCACAACAGCCTCTAAGGCTACATTGGGACAGAAGAGGAAAGGTGGCTGTTGCAGGAAAGATGAGCTTTGACAGAGTGGTTTTCTGAAGAGTGGGGTCATGTGCAGAAAACCAGACAGAGTGCTGGTAAGCTGACATGCCCATTGATGACCAAAGGCATGAAATACTGAGATGGCAAAAGAAATACATGGCAGAAATGACTTGAGAAAACCCCACTTCCTGCAGCTCTGTTCCAGTTGACATCCTATGTCATATAACAGCCCAATATGAAAATTATCTGGGAGATGGTCAAAAAGAGATTTGATGAGGGCAAGTGCATAGTGTTGCCTCTCCCCAGCTGAAGTCATATTTGCAAGGTAAATGACATGATCATGACAACAGAGTAGGGCCATGAAACCAGTATCTGAAAAGAACTGGGTACTTGCCTACACTGCCATCAGACCAATAGAGTCAGAATAAATGATTAAGACTCACTTTCTGGCACCTCTCATCAGCTGCAGTAAAGGACTCATTACAACCCTTCAGCACTGACATTGTCATCTCATTCCCTCTTCAAACTCATCCTCCCCATCACCAAGATAATTTTCAAAGCCTGTCCACTCCTCCTTTGGGTTGAAGACTTTGACTTTGACAACTCATTAACCTCATGCTCCATAGCACAAATATCTTCTTGTGAAAGAAAGACTATAGCTGTAGGGTTTACTGGATCATTTGGATGCCCACTTCTGCACTTCTGAGTAAAACAAGCATCAATGCAAACAATTGCATCAACATCAGAAAAGCTAGAACAAAGGAAATTTTAGCAGTTGACAAAACTATATCCACCAAGTGACATACCCATGTTCACTATTATTGCTCTGCCAGCTCTGGCCACCAAAGCATAGAGGACAACACTGTTGTAGGTATTCTGATGGCCTCATCTTTGAACTGAGGACATCATTGTCTGGGGAACTTGGCAATGGGATTGCAGAGGGGATGTTTGATGATGGACTAGCAGATTCCTGCAGTTGTTGTTGGACATATTCATCAAGGGATGTTTCCAGAATACAATACCAGTGATATGCATTACTGAACCTCTGGCATATACCCTCCTGCAAGTATCATCAGCAATGATCCATGACTGAGAAGAACAACCAAAGTATGCATTAATAATATAGCAACATCACCATAAACAATACCAACAAACATCCTACCCTATCAATATAACACTACAGCAGTCCCAAGAAACAGAACATGTCACACATGCATGCACTTATAACCATGAAATAGTCATGCATCAGATTAAGATACACTACCTACATAGCAGAGTCATCTGTACTACAGTCACTATGGCAGTAATGTATGTTTTACAAAGTGGAAAAAATGGGGTAATGATACAAAACATGACAATTCCATACCTTTGTGTCCACCTTATAACCCATAGCTGCAAGGTATGCCTCAAGGGACTCACACCATGCTGAAGTGTTTGGAGGTATGCACATGAAGAGTTGTTGGACAAAGCTAAGAAGCTGTAGGCTAACAGCAAGTGTTGGCCCCAGTGGGGCACAGGGGAAGTAGCCCATCCAAAGTAGTTGGAGGGCTGCAGGTGCACAAGGACAGACAGCCAGATCAACTGATTGCAGAGCTGCAATGAATGCATCTAAGCCAAGGAAAATGACAAAGAACACAGAAATCTCACCATTGAAATCAATGCAAATGACTCTCAGTTTTCAAGTCTGGTGACAACCACATGTCAGCAGTTCATAGTCAACAGGATTCCAGAAGTGGTTGGATAGTCATTGATATGCAAGGTACAGCTGAAGGAGGGAAGGGATGACAGTGTGTGATCACCACTGCCACTGCTTCATTTTTTTTCAGGCATTCCTAGATGGTGACAAGAGCAGGTCTTGGCTAATATGTAGCCCATTTGTTAAGCAGTTGAAAGTGGCATCATGGGAGAGGTCACATTCACTACCCACAGAAGGCTCTAATAGGCAAGCAGCACTTGAAGCAGAGTGGTGTCAGATGTGTGGGTCAGAGGAATCACTGGGGTGTTGTGTGAAAGTGCAACAGCCAGGTCAGGTGAGCAAGTGCTCAACAGGAAGGTAAAGCCCTGCAGTTCTGGGAACACAGCATGAAGGTTCAGCAGTCTGATGGTCAACAAGGACTGTGAGATCATCTGCATGGAGCAAGTCAGGAATCTGGTTCATCAGGGCAGTAACTCATACAGAGGGACCATGCCTAGTAAGCTGTTTTGGTCAATGAAATGACATCTATGAAATTCAGTCAGATACATAAACTGTCTAGGCAAGTTAGTGGTAGACAACAATCCTGCAACACCAAGTTACAGGACTGTGTACCTGGAGTGCAATCTTACCTCTGCTTGGGCTCATGATTATGCAGTCAACTTAGACTCACTGCATCAGTACCTACAAGAGGAGATGACCCTCACACAACAGTGCTACCAAGGACTGGCTGATGCTAAATGCATGCCAGCTCCAGACTTCAAGGTCAGTGACCAGGTATATGTCAAAGCCAAGTACTTCCAGTCAACTCAGCCTTCCAAGAAGCTCTCAGAGAAAAACCTTGGGCCATACCCAGTCATAGCTCAGGCTGGTACCCACTCTTTCACACTGTGCCTGCCAGACTCAATGCATGCAGTACACCCAGTCTTCCATGTCTCCCAACTTGAGCCAACCATCCCTAATGCCATCCTGAACCAGACTCAGCCACCACCCCCACCCATTGAAGTTGATGGTGAACTAGAGTTTGAGGTAGCTGAAATCCTCAACTCCAAGGTCAACCAGCATTGTCAGTGTTGACTCCAGTACCTAGTCCAGTGGACCATCTACAAGGGGACTGATGAGGAGACTACTTGGGTACTTGCTACTGAGCTTGACAATGCTTCTGAACTCATACAAGAGTTCCATGCCTAGTAACCCACTAAACCCATGTGACAAGACCTAACAACAGGGTTTGTTGTAGGCTTGCACCAAGAACCACAAAGAGAAGTGAAGGGAAGAAAGGGGAAGATGGCTGAGAAGCAGAGGACTTTAGGACTCATAGACCCAAATGAACTTGATTAGAGCTAGTTGGGTGATTGAGCAACAGTACTTATAGTATAGTACATGTGGTAATGGTGGGGCATACACAAGGTCTGTGACATCATAGTGATGTCATAATGATATCATAGTGGAGTGGAATGTACCAGAAGGAGAACACCCAGCAACAGTGAGGTGAGGTCTAGACTGGGGTCTGGACCGAGTCTGAAGAGATAAGATAAGACAAGAGATTAGATAAGTTGAAAGAAAAGGAAAGAAAAGGAGAAAGAGTTCATATCATAACAACCCAGCCCTTTCCAATGAGAACCAGCTTCAACTGGCCTCAGTTTCTTTTCTGTTCTCTACCAGTATATAGTTTCCTTTGATCTCCTACTTACCTTGTTTTCCTTTTTTCTTGTTTCTTGTTTTCGGTCACTTTATTGTACAAGACTGGGACTAGACTCTTGACATTGGCAAAAGAAACAAGGCCACTACACTATGATGACTACTCAGCTTCAGCCATGTTTTCATCTTCTCCCTCAGCTTCCTCTTCCTCACCCTTGGCCTGCAGCCACTCTGCTTCCTTGCACAGCTCATTCAGATGAGCCTGAGTCCAGGGGGGTGACTGCCACCCTGAAGCCATAAGACTCATCAAGCATAGCCTTGAGTGCATCAGCAATCCAGCCCAAGTTTTTGACCATGGCCTTGTGAAGTTCAAAGAGGCTGCCAGATTGTTGGCAATAAGCCCTGTGATGTCAATGAGCTGCTCAAGCTTATCTTCTAAGCCTGAGGGCCCCCCTGTGCCAGCCTTCCTCACCCTGCTCCCACTGGCTTCAGGCTCATTGATTTCCAACACCTTGGTCAGCTTTGACTTCACCCACTTCTTCTGGCTCAGCCCACGCTCAGGCATCTTGTCAGCCTTCCTCTTCTTCCCCTTGTTGACCTTCCCACCAAGCTTGGGGCTGGCCTCAGTGTCCTTCCCATCCCTGGGCCACTGGCACTTCCCCTTGGGCAGGTTGCAGTGGATGCAGGCAACCTGTTTCTTGTTGCCATCTACAAGGAACTTGCAGACAACCTTTGCCCAGGTGCAACAGGTACAGCTAGAAGGTTTTCAGATGAAAGAAGCACAGGGAGGGAGAAAAAACTCACCTGGGGTCCATCACTACCCTCTTCACTTCACCCCTGGCCTCACTACTACTGGCCCCAGCACCAGCCCTGTCATCCTTCCTGGCCTTGGCCTTGTGTTTGTGCTTGGCCTCATGTCTCTCCTCCTCTTCATGCACCTTCTTCACCTCAGCCTCCTTCTCTGCTCACCCAGCCTTGGCCCTCTCCCTTTCTGCTCTTTTTTCCTCAAACTGTGCCTGCTCCTCATGCCAGGCTTGTTCAGCCACCTTTTGCCTTTTCCTCTCCTTCAACTTGGCCTTCATTACCTCCTCTTTGTCATTGGTGTCATATTGGATGGCATTGTCTGATACCTGGGTCCAGTTGATGATGGCCTGGCCTTCATTGTTGTTATCAGTCACAGTGGTTGGTCTTGAGTCAGACATGGTGGATAGGATGTGAAAGAAAGATGCAAAGGGCTTAGTGGGCTACAAGTACCAGTTTTTCAAACTCAGCCAAAGTTTGGACTCAGCCTACCACTCTCACAGTGGTCTCATGGGTTTGACCCCTAAGAGGGGGATACTGTCATGACCATGCCTCAACCCCAGCTGGACTCAGCCTCACACTCATCTAGCCCAGCCTTGGCCTTGCCAAACACCTACCTCCAATTAGTCTAGCATGGTTAGCACTGCTTTGCAGTGTGTGTCATTTCAGTTGAGCCTGACCCAGCCTTGTCTCCAGTCTGCCCTTGTTCTCTGCCCCAGTCTCCAGTCATCTTGGTCATACCTTACTAATACCATTCTTACCAATCACCTTAGCAATCTTTGCAAGACCAGCATTACTGGTCTCTGTACTATAGTCTGTCTCTAGTATATAAACCCATAGATACTCAGCTTGTACTCTTCAGTCTGAAATCAACTAAGTTCACTCTGATAACCATGCCTCAGCCTCAGACTTGGACTGAAACCCACACAAGGGAATAGTGCTGCTCCCCCAGTCACTACATCCAACCAGTCCACCCCCTGTACCTCTGCCTTTCCCCCTGATCCTGACCCCTTGGCCTCACACCTGCCTCAGTCTCTGGTCCAGTCTCAAACCTGGACATCATGAACTTGACAACCTTGGTTATCACAGTTGGCTACATCCTTTACCAGCTTGGCAAAGATGGAAAATGATACCCTAGTCACTTCAGATCCATCACCCTCAACAAAGTGGAAAGCCACTACTGCCAGGCTAAGCTTGAGTTGTACAGCCTCTTCTGCACACTGCATGCAGTACACATATACATCTTCAGTCTCACTAACTTCACTGTGGAGGTAGATGCAAAGTATGTTAAGGGCATGATAAATAACCCAGATCTACAGCCTAACACAATGATCAATCACTGGATTGCTGGCATCCTCCTCTTCTCCTTCAAACTCATGCACATTCCCATGGACAAGCATGCCAGCCCTGATGGCCTGTCCCACTGTCCATGGTCAGAACTTGACCTGCCTGAGGATGACAACCATGAGGACTGGTTAGACCATTTTTACTCCTTCTCTACAGAGGCTATCAATGACCACCCACCTCCTACATCCATCTCCAATCATGATCATCATTCCTTACCACCACCTGCCTACCATCAGGTGAGCCTCCCACTGCCTACATGCTTCTACCTCACATTCTCTGTGACCACTGATGCCCATAACCCCCCTGATACCTCTGACAACCCAGCCATCCTGTGGTCCATGAAGGCTCAGACCCATGAGGCAAAAATAGAAATGATCCACACATTCCTCATGACCTGTGAGTGACCTCCTGACCTTACTGATGTGCAGTCCTCATCCTTCTTTAATTCTGCCAGCCACTTCTTCCTCCTAGATGGCAACTTATGGCATAGAGAACTGCATGGACAGCACCAGCTAGTCATCAAGGAGTCCAAGCAGTATCACTGTAGGTTTGGTAATGAATGAACTAGGGGAGTGTAGGAGATTCCCCAGCATGGATAGAAAAGGGTCTAGTTTGACCCAGAGGGACTCTGTGCTTGGATCAGTGAAAAGAGGTGAAAGAGTGGATTTGGGTTGGGCAGAATGAATGGAGCAGTAAAGGGAGTGAGTAATGGTGTCTGGAGGTTGTCTGGGAGTGCCTCAACAAGGGCTTGTCACAGTCTTGTGTTCACAGTCTGGTTTTCTCCTTTTTTTTAATTGTGTACTGTAGACCTACACTAGCATGCAAAAATGCTGACTAAGCTACCAAAAAATGCGCCACACAGGTAGGCTAAGCATCACTAATGTAAATCAAAGTAAAAATACAGTAGAAAAGATAAAATAATTAAATCTCCTTAGCAGGGAGTACTTATTCCCTACATCACCTCATCAAAGAAGCACATGATGACCTCAGACACAAAGGTGTCTTCACTGTCCACACCCACCTTCTCCTCTGCTTTTGGTGGCCTCTGCTTGCTGAGGACATGAAATGGTATGTTTGCACTTGTCACAAATGCCAGATCTGCCAGATGCAAAAACTACACATACCACCCACTGTGCCCATGATAGGGGGCCTGTTTCATAAAGCTCACATTGACATGATGCTAATGTGCAAAGCTGGTGGCTACTGGTACATAGTCCAGGCTCGATGCGCACTCACCTCATATCCAGAATGGCACATGTTGTGTGCAGAAAATAGTACTGCACTTGCATCCTTCATCTTCAAGGACATCCTATGCTGCTGGGGTCCACTCACTGAAATTGTCACAGACAATGGTCCTGCATTCATTCAGGCCTTAGATGCCCTAGCCACATAATATCATATCCATCACATCCATATCTCTCCTTACAACTCTCAGGCTAACAGTATCATAGAGCATTGCCACTATGATGTACACAAGGCTATCATGAAGAGCTGCAAGAATGATGACCACTGCTGGCACACTGTCACACAGTCTGTGTTCCAGGCCAAGCAGGTCACCATCTTGAAGTCCATGGGTTTGTCCCCTTACTTCATGGTACATGGTGTCAAGCCGTTGTTCCCATTTGACCTCACTGAGGCTACCTTCCCTTTACCCCTATCCTGCAATGATGCAACACCACTGACTACCACAGAACTGATCACCTGGTGCACACACCAGTTGCAAAAGTGTCAGGATGACCTGGACCATGTCCACAATAACATCCTCTGCACATGTTTCCAGTCTGTCCAATAGTTCAAAGCTACCTATCAGCATTACATCAAAGACTATAACTTTGCTCCCAGTACCCTCACACTTGTCCACAACTCCCACATAGAGAAAGAACTGAACTGGAAGATGAAGCCACAGTACACCAGTCCCATGGTCATCCTCTGTCAGACCACTGGGGGCTCATACCTACTGGCTGAGTTGGATGGCTCCATCTCCAAGCTCCACTTCACTGCATTCTGCCTGCTTCCATACCACCCATGGTCACAAACCTGTGTAACCATGACTCACATTACTGGGTTAGATGACAAAGCACTCTTCCAGCACCCACAGCCTGTCCATCATGCCCTCCCCTTCTTTCCTTCATACTTTCCTCCATACCCTCTTCTCCCATGATACCCCTACCTCCTTCCACAGCTTCAACCACCTCTCTGCAGCTTCTCCCACTGCCTTCATTCCACCTCCTGCACTGACTGGGGACAGTCAGCACTCAAAGTCCCCCACAGGGGTGACCTGCATACCACTTTCTCCATCTGATAGCAAACATAGTTCGTTTCCCTTTATCTGTTTTACCCCAGGTTTCATCCAGAGACCTCTGTTCCACCCTGGGTTTTGTCCAGTGATTCTACTGATAGCTAGTCCTCACTCAAAAAAACATAAAAACCACTAACAAAAAGTCCAAAACCATCCAGAAAAATAACAAAACAACTAATAAGTATATAACTAAAACAACATTCCTGTCACCTCTCTTACTAGTCTCACTGATGCCATCCTCATCCACCTTATACTGCAGATACTCACAACTACCCTGCACATTTCCTCTTCAAATGCACAGTCAGCATGTGCCCCTTGATCCTTTTTCCTTTCAATTTTCTCTCCATCTCCTTACAATTGATACCCAAAGACCATCCCAGTTACCCAATAAACAGTCCCTTCATTCTCTCTTCAAGAAATTGTCACATCCTACTGTCAACACCATACTACAAGGACTCACCACTGAGAGAAGTCAAAAGTTGCATGATGAAGACAAGTCAGGTGGTACCCCATGCAGTGTATCTTACTGTGGCCAAACTGTCCTGTGGAGAGTGTTCAAGCACTTCAAGTTGTTTTGCATTGTAACCTCACACAGAAGGGAAAACAGCAGTATATTTCATGTGATGTGCACTGACATACAGATGGGAAGATATGCAAAATCCAATCTAACTATAGTTGGCCCTACTCCACCCCAATCTTGTCTAATGCCTCAGCAAGCTGATCAACATGCACCTGGAGTTGAAGGTATGTGGCCTCAGTGATTGCAAAAGGTTGGCCACAACCTTGGCATCAAGCTGGCCACACACCAGTGCCTTTCCCTTTGTGTGCATGTGGCTCTTGACCACTTCAACTTCATCATCATCATTGTCATCAGCGACCCTCTTGCAAGAGCCAGCCTTGGCAGTCTTCAAAGACCACACTATGGGTCATTAGCTCCAGACCTCTTGATGTGGGGTTGCTACCTACCAGTCAATGTGCCAACTTGTGCCCTCTTTCCTGCCAACTTTGTCAACTTCTCACACCCCTGCTTCATGCATGCACAGCCATCACAAGTGCACCCCACCAGTCCCATGCATGTGGCATTTTTAACCAAGCAATGTATGCAGGGCTCCTTGTGGAGGATCAATCTGGGTGGTATGGTGACCTTTGGAACCTCAACTTCATCCTTGCTTTCTGTGATCATCTGCTGGGAATGCTAGGGCCCTTGGGGTCAGAAGCTGGTGTACTGTGTGCAATGTGCTCTTACCTTCCATGCAGGCTGAGTCACCTCAACATGCAACATCTTTGCTGTTGCAGCTGGTACCTCTACATTCACTCCCTGCTCACTGATGACCTGTGAGGCCTCCTCTCCCATCCACATGTCTTTGTCAGCCTTTCCCTGTGCAATCTCCTCAGCCACCCACCTCTTGTAGGCCTTGTTGGCCTCTGCCATAGCAGGCCCATCTGCTGTGTCTATCTTGGTGTCAACACCCAGCTCTCACCTGTGCTCAACAATGGGGTACACTTCCCCCTAGAAGATGGTCAATGCTGCAAGTCTCAAATGAACTGTGCACTTACTGTTCTCTCCTCCCATCAGCGCATCCACATCACCTTCTCCTCCCACAGCTCCTCCTTGTCATCTGGGAGGCACCTAGCCTCAGTGACCAGAGCTGCAGAGGCAGCAACAAACCTCACCTTAAGAGTGGCCTTCTCTGCTTCAATCAGGTTGGGGGTAGCTGCATGGACCAGCTGGGAGAGTTGAGGGGCATGGTTAGCAGACATGATGAGAGCATTAGAGATGATTGATGGGGGGGGAAGAATCAAATTGATGTGAAGGTTTGAGCCACACACTAACAATTATATACTTAGCAGCCATGAGGTGCTTATGTCATCAGTCTGGACACCTTTATGCAGCATTCAACAGTCTTCTCATGTTCCTTGGCACCACACTTCCTTCACTTCTTCACAGAATTTGCCAGTGTTCCTGAATCCTTGGCACCACACCTGCACCATCCCCATGTGGCAAAGTTGTTTATGTCCTCTGCACCATGTGGCTGACCAGGGATGGTCAGCATCAAAGTCCCCCACAGGTGTAGGGAATCCACATTCCCTGGATGCATAAGCCCCTATCATCAACCATTCCATGATTACCATTACATCCCCACACTGCTTGGATCCACTGCTGTTCATGCACTGCCTTCCCACCTACCTTGCCACCTTCCCATGCCCTTGCTCCCTCTAGCACAATGCTATACTCATGGCTGCTGTGCTCTGGTCACATCCTTCTTTTGGACTCTTTTCCTTTACCATGGTCTCTGTTCCTTTTGTGCAAGTAGTATACCCTCAGCCTCTGTTCCAGCCTGGCTTGTGTGTATGCACTGTCATGTGCCTTTCCTTTACTTGTACTCTGTCTTACTTAGGTTCCAGGTTTCCCTGGACTATAAAATTCTGTACTTAGGTACAGAATGATACCTTTTGGCACTTGGAAGGTCACTACAAGTTTCCTTTTCACTTTGTCCACACTGCACATCTCACATACTGCTGCACACAAACTACATTTACCACTTGCAACACTTGCACCACTAGTACTACACCTGTGGACCATGCCATGCATGTCATGAGTTGCTACCACTACAAAGTGCTGAGTCCCACCTTCTAGTTTTGACAGTCCAGAATCCCTTGGGATGAGCAATTTGTTCCCTTCATTTTATTGTTGTTACCTAAGCCATCTAGCTTGTATTATGTATACAGCTACTTGGACTTTTCCTACCTATGACAGTCAGTACTTCCTTTTCCAGCAAGAATCTCTGCAAGATGTTGGCTGGGCTTTTGGGTTCATTTTGCAACAGGTGGATCAGCTGGAAGTGGTGGAGACATGGGTTAAGCTGGGGTGACTGGTGGAGGTGATGGGGCTGTGGCAGTCTCTGCAACAGGTGCTGTAGATGTTAGCATTGCATTTGGTAAGTATGCATACACATCTTCCTCCCCCTCACAAGGTAACAGCTCAGCCAAGGAGGGGTCCCAGTATATGTTTCTTTCAACAGTGACTGACTGCTTTTCAGGCCAGTATATGTGACATCCATTGGGGCTATTATTGTCTATTCCAACCCATCAGCCTTCAGCAACATGTCCTCCCAGCTTACTTCCACCCTCAATCTGTATCCAGATGCTTGAGCCCCATGCATGGGCTCAACTAAGGTCAGGCTTCTTTTTGGTCACAGCTTTGAGAGGCATTCCTCCATCAAGCGCTTTAGTGGGGGTTCTGTTCTTCAACCAGATGGCATGACATACTGCCTTTCCCCAAAGGGCACAAGGTAATCCACTCCCATGTAGCATGGCATGCACTTTCTCCAGCAATGTGTGATTGAGACACTCAGTGATACCATTGTGCTGTGGAGTATTGTGTATGGTGAGTTTTTGCTTCATACCTGTGGCTTTAAGGTACATCACAAATTCTTTGCCTAGATATTCACTGCCTCAATCAGAATGGAGAGTCTTTACATGAGCATCATGCTGAGTGTGACACAAGGCCTTGAAGTCCTTGTAAGTGGTGAGAGCTTCACTCTTTTGGTGAAGGAGATGGATATGAGTGAGTTGTGTTTTGTCATCAGTGAAAATAATGTAATAATGCTGTCTGCTGAAAGTCTCCACAGGCACAGGTCCCTAGCAGTTGGTATGTATGTACCTCTTTAGCAAATTCATGAGCTTGTTCTCCAATGCATGCCTTTGTGACAGGCTTCTGTTATGCTGAGACTGAAGTCAAGGTGCAGGTTGAGCTCAGTCACAGACTATGGTTTCTACCTAGCAAATGGCTAAGGTAACCTCTGTAAATGACAGAGGATTTGGCAATGCTGGTAAGAGTGGTCCTGGCCAGGGACACTGAGGGTGAAGTTCTGAAGAACACTGCATATGATTGAGCAGCTCAAGTCTGGGGTTCTTAGCCTTGAGCAGGCAGTCTAAATACTACAAGGCAAATGGACCATGAGGCATCCACATGTAATGAGGTAACTATGTATGTCATGGAGCAATCAACATAGGATGTTGACAAATGTTATAAATGAGGTCTGCACCTCCAAGGATATCAAAGAGACAGAGGAGTAAGGGGACCTGTTCATGGGTGATTTCATTTAAAATGGTTCTAGTGGGAGACAAGAGGGGGTTCTGTCGGTTCATGTAATGGGAAAGTTCCTCAAGCTGAAGGGTTTGGATAGTGGCATGATAGACAAGGTCGAGAGGGGAGTCCTCATCAACTTCATGATAAATGGTGCTGATAACAGAGGGGTTGGCAATGAAGAGGCAGTATGAATTTATCATTTGCTTGCTAGCAGGTTGGTGCTGGCAATGAGTGAATGGGGTGTGGCAGCAAGAGACCTTGTGAGGGTAGGTGTAGCAACAAGGAGGCATTTCTACAGAGATGGTTCTGATAGTGCAAGAAGAACATTGAGCAGGTTGTTTCTGAGGGGGAAAGTCCCTTGGGAATCATTTCTTATATGTGGAGAGCATATCATCTGCATGTTCAAGGTGTGACTCTTTTTGCCATGAGTTTTCAGAAGAAGGGTATCCCTTCCATTTGATTAAAAAGGCATGTGTCCATGGTCAGACCTTCTATGGCCAACTATCACCTTGACTTTGTACTCTTCCTCCTCATTGACAAGGTCAGGTGGTGGGGCGAGGAAGTTTGGTTCATGAATGTCATTTTCATGATAGGGTGATAAGAGGGAAGCATGGAACACATTGTGTATCTTCCATTGTGAGGGAATTGCAAGGCAATAAGTGATCAGAGATAGGACATCAGAGATCAAGAAGGGTCCTTCTCTTTTGGGGTGTCATGACCACATCTAGACTACCCTAGACTGGCTCTAGCCCAGTCTTGTCCTGCCCCTGCCCTGGTCCCAGCCTTGACACCTCAACCCAGAAATGTGTTAGTTCATGAGGCACTGCAAGGCAGTGTCCAATCAAGTTATTCACTCAGTTGAGACTGGACCAGCATTGTACCTGGCCCATCACTAGTCCTGCCCTGGTTCCCTGTAAATCCTTTGTTCATACCTTTGCTTGATAATATTCTTTGTAACATCTTGCTTACCAATCCATTTACCAATCATCACTGTACTGGTGCAAACCTGTCTCCAGTGCTATGTTACACTTACCTTACCTTCAGTATTTAAGCTGTAGGAACAATTGTTTAGCCTCAGTCTGAAATTAAACTAGTCTCATCTAACCTGGTCTCCTCTGTTTCCTGTCTCCTGCCTCTCAACTGGACTACAGCCCACACAAGAGAATAGTGCTGCCCCTCAGTTGCTAAGTCCAATAGTCCAAAACCTCTAGTACCTTCACCTTCCCCTCTGACCCCCAACCAGACTCTGGACTGGCTTTGGACCAGTGACAAACTGGACTTACAGTAACATGGGGGTGAGTTTTCTATTTTCATAGGAACACTTTAGGTTCCATGCTTCTAGCCAAACCTTATCTCCTTTTTGAAATGGGGTAAAGGGTCAAGACAAGCAGTCTTTCATTGTTTTTCTGGCCAGATCATGTGCTGCAAGGGCCTCCTCTCTAGCCTTTCAGAGTTCTTTGAGTCTGGACTCAGTGGTGGGAAGGTGGGTGTCTGCAATCAGGGATGGCAGGGGTTTTGGTTCATAGCCATACATGAGGTAAAACAGTGATTGATAGGTGACAGAGTGTGTGCAGTGGTTGTGCATGAATTCTGCCATGGGAAGGTTGTATACCCAGAGAGTAGGATCATTCTGGCAAAAGATGTGGAGGTATGTTCCAACCTCCTGGTTGATGCATTCAGTTTCCCCATTGGTCTGAGGATGGTATGCCATTGAGAGAGCAAGGGAGTATCCCAAAAGGGATGCAAGTTCTTTTGCAAATGCTGAGGTGAATTGAGGGCCTCAGTCAGAGATGATCCTGTCATACAACCTGAAACAGGAGTAGACTTTTTTGAAAAAGAGGGCCACAATATCAGTGGTGGAGGTGGTTTTCTTTGTGGGTGATAAAATCACCCCCTTTGTAAGCCCATGGTCTACCACAACCAAAAGGGAATCATATCCTTTAGAAAGGGGAAGATCAGTAATCAGATTGCAGGAGATCTGTTGGAATGGACAGGTTGATGTTGAGGGGATGGGTGCAAGGGATGGCATTGTTGGGTGAGTGTTTACTTTATTTTGCTGACATGTAGCACAGCCTTCAACATATTTTTGGACAAAGGATGCAAGTCCTGGCCACCAAAACTCAGAGGAGATGAGTTGTCAGGTCTTCAAGGCACTGGGATGTCTAGTAGAGGGGTGGTCATGGTAGTTGGACACAATGGTTCATTGGAGTGTAGGGTCATCAGGGATATACACCTGGTCTTTGTAGAGTAGCACTCCATTACCAAATTTCCAATTAGAGAGGTGAGATTTGAATGGGAGTGGCATATCAACATTTTCGATAGCTCAAAAAGCCATTTGGACAACAGGGTCCATCATGGAGGATGAGGCAACCTTCTGGGTAAGGTTGGTGTTGATGAGGTTGACAAACATGGTCTGGGGAAGGAGGGTTACTCCTTTGTTGTCTTCATCATTGTCAGGAACATAATCAGGTTGACAGGAAAGTGTGTCAGGGGCAGCTAGGTCTTTTCCTGTGACATGTTCAAGTTTCAGATCAAAATCTGCAAGGTCTAGAAGCCAGTGGGCCTGGTGATGATTCAGGTTCTGGAGGGCCTTGAAGTAGGTCAAGGTTTTTGTGGTCAGTGAAGACCTTGACCAGGAACAGGGATCCATGGAGGTAATGTCTCCAGG